CTCAAATATTCAATATTAAAAATATCAATGAATATTGAAATGTATGACTTTTTAGAAATTTCCAAATGTATAATTTTTTCTTTTCTTACAATAAAGATCTTATATCTTGAATTGATTTACATCTTTGACATTTTTTATATATATTCTGTAATTGATATACGAAGAAATTTATTTTACATGTTCTATTTTATATTTTGATAATAGGTTGGATAAAATGTGTGTATACGAAAAATAGACATTCGGCAGCTGAATTATGTGAAACTTATAAAAATCTGAAAAAACGGGAAATTTCAATTCGGAATGCAGGAAAATGAATGACAGTAGTTTTCAATGTTACTAATATCACTTATTTGACTGAAATTAAATGCGCTTCGATGTAAATTAAAGCAGTCAATAAATTGAGTGAAAGTTTCTTCCTGTACGGCAAAAAGCGAACGTAAATTAATTTAACTGAATGTATATATAAAAATAGAGCTCCAGCACGCAGTCGGTAATTTATCAAACATATAAAAAGAAATCCCTCAGCAAAGATTATTGCAAGATAAAAATAGCTGCCTAGTTTAATATGTCGCGCGCGTGCGAGTTTGCAGTGCGCGGTTTATATAACGCTAGCGCTTCTCGATATAGGCTAGCTGCCAGTGATCCGGACAGTCTGTGGCAGTTAATTTAGAGGCCATTTCCTCTGTAAATAGCCAATAAAAGCACCAGGCACGCGGGGTTGGAAGAGAGAGAGAGAGAGAGAGAGGACTCGAAGTTCGCGAGACAGCAGCGTGAGCGAGTGGAAGAGATTGCCGAGTGGGGCGCGATGGCGGCGCCCCCGGAATGCGCGCAATATTATAAAATTTAATGTCTTGCTTTACGGGCCACGATATAGCATAGTAGTCCAGGAATTCTGCGTGCTTTTGCCGGCGCGGAGCCTCAATATTTACAGTTTTGTATACAGAGCGAGAGACGCAGATTTCTCTTCTTTTTTTGGAGCCTCGGTCCTTTATTGGAAATACTCGGACGTCGAAATCACTGTTTGCTTTAGTTGAAAGTGACGAGATTTGCCTTTTTACGGAAACTATTCGATAGTCTTGTCTTTATCCTTATGCCAACAGGATACACGTTTATCTGTAGCTGGCAATTTGTTTCGAGACTTGGGAGACTTTTTCGATTTTTATCTCTGTTACTTAACAAATATAAGTTTTGACAATGTTGCGGAAAAAGATGTTTTTGTTTTTGAAAGCTCCCTGGATCTGGAAAGAAAAACGAATTGTACATGGGTAAAAAATTATTAGAATGAGTTAAATTCTTGTCAAATTATATTTGAAAAATGCATCGCAATTTGTCGTTAAATCAATATCTCCTTTCCAATTGTCAATAATCCGCTGAATTGAAGGAAAATGACGACGATTCCTCTGAAAAATGACAAATACATGCAGCCGGCAGTTTGCACACGTGCGAGGTGGAAGCAAGGGTTTGGTGCACTCGAAAGCAGGTAAAGGAAAGAAAGAGAGAGAGAGAGAATCGGCAAGTGAGAGAAAGTGAAAGGGAGATAGATAACGCGGGCACACGAGAATGTGCGAGGCAGAGCGAGTATACAGCTATACGTATACGTATATTCTCTGCAAAAGGGAGCAAGCGAGAGGTCGGCGGCGTCGGCGTCACCACGGAAATCAAGAGTAATGCCAACACGAAACTGCACTACCCCGCGCTCGCTCTCTCTCGTAGCCAGCCCCTACGCAAGCTTCCGACGGCCAGAGAAAGAGAGAGAGATAGTAATGATACGCGCAAGCGAGTGAGAGAATCACAACCATCCCACTCTCTCGCACACACGTAGCGCGCAGCGAGTGCCTTCACGAGCTCGCTACACCCAACAGAGCGCGAGCGCCCCTTCCCTGCTCGCAGAGTTCGGAGACGCGCGATTCTCGCAGGCCGACCCTTGGGAGTAAGCTGCTACGACGCCCCGCGCCCGCGTCCTGCGCGCACCACTATCACCGAGGCTACCGTCGCTTGCCGTTTTCTCACGGAACCACTCTTTTAGTTCTTTACAAGCTTCCTTCTTCATATTTTGTCAATCATTGCTATTCCGTTCTTTCAAATCTATTCGCTATTCCGCCATTTGGGACAATTCAGATGCAATGCGACATCACCATGGAGTTCGCTTTATAGCTGCCACTCCATTCGGTTCACTGCTTGCCAAATATTTGCTTTCAGGAATTTCCCGAATCCTCGTCTGTTTGATTTGCACGTATTCATTTGATAATGCCAAATTCCATATTATGTATTTATTTTCAAATAAAATACATAATATGGTTTTCAGGTAATAATGTAATCACGTAATAAATTGGCTACGGTTATTAACGAGCTTAATATGTACATTGTATTATCAAACATAAAAGAGGAATGAGTGGGAGGACGACGAGAGCTGACAATCATTGCGATGAGTTGCCGCTCAACCACAGAGGGAAGCTTTGAATATCAGTGTCAAAGTGGACTGGATGTGTGTCTTCCAAACCCAAAAAAGAGCGCCGCACGAAAATGCGGCCATTCGTATGATCGGCCTCGCATGAAGGGAAGAAGCTTCTCCTATGGGAGCTTCTGTGCCGAAACGTCTTTTAATATACACTATATCTTCAATGAGCTGAGGGGTTTCAACGCCCTATAACAACCATCAACCCCGCAACGATGAGCGCTCGGGACGCGCTGTTTTCTCGGTTAGCGCGGATGGAATCTGTTGTCTTGATCGGAAGCCTATAGTTTGTTTATGATATATTTAGTGGGATTCGTTTATTATTGTAGATGAGGAAATAGCACGAATAAATTACACCGTAACAACTGCTTCAATAGGAGACTATGGACTTTTATGGAACCACTATATGTTTTATAAAAAAAAAGAAATATTATTTACTACATGTTTTAATCAGGAGTTTTATCCCCATTCGAATGAACCTCTGGCTTTACTGAAACTTATTAATTCAATTTTTTTCCTGTGCCTGGTTATTGCTACGTATCTAGCTTTATTGCATTACATCTTATCTATAAAAATTATAAAAATAGAGTACACAAATGATCAATGAAATTCATTTGAAAAAGGCAAATTTGATATTTTATGAATGATACTTTCATAAATGAACATTGCACAAATGATAATGTTCACGTATTTGACAAAAGGTATTTTCAATAACGCAATATTCTGATGACATTAAGATCTCTACGAAATCAGTAGATATCTCAATATTATTGAGGAATCTATTATTTCGACAATTTATGCTAAAGTAAAGATTTTTAAATTATAACTAGGACCCTTTAATAAAATCCATTTATAAGATTTCTTTCTTTCTTCTCTTTACAGCGAAACATCATTAATTGTGCTTATTAAATCGAAGTACATATGATCTAATAATTACATCTACTTACGTTAACACTGGTAAAGCTAAGTTTGAAATTAAATATTTTTCTTCGCCTTTTTGTTTGGAAAATTGGCCATTCCAAAAGAAATGTTATGTTTGGACGTGTCAATGACAAAGGGCTACATATTTCTAGAACTGATCTCATTGTAAAGAAAACAGTACTGTAAGAGACCGCACAATCCATCCCAACAACCAAATAACATGATTAACACGTTATAGCAGACATAACTTTTTCACTCTAACTCTGATGATACAACTGAATGCCAAGCAACTATCTTGCGTTAAACAATGCCAATAACTTAGCAACGATCTAATTTTCATTTTTTCGACATTTGGTAGCGAAATTCACTTTGATTTTAATAATTGTTTAAAAATGTAAATAATATGGCTAAAATAATTAAGTAAAGAAGTCGTCAATGCAGATTTTTTCATGTTGAATAAAATTAAATTATCACTGAAATGTATAACTAACTTCTCGAAAAAAAATTGTCTCGAGTAATCTTTAGAATATAAGAAAATTCGTTGAAGCGCTTTGCTTTGTAGAAAACACAATAATCGCTAGCACTATTTAGTGTGCAAGTAAGGGAAAGTGCTACGAGCCGGAAAATGGATCTCGTCTGCTTATATTGCAGCAGATTAAATTAATTCTGGTAAATTAATTGGTAGTTAAGATGTTTAGTCCTAAGTGAGAGAGTCTAGTTTCCCTACTACCTCTCTACCTCTTTCACGTCACTCCCACCTTTATTATAAATCTCTCCTTGTTTTCTCATGTCTATTCATTGTCGTTTCTCACTTTATCTTTTGTTATGCTACTAAAGTTGCTTCTTGTACTACATAATATAAAATATGAATTTAGACTTCACAAAGTAACAAATATACAAACAATTTTATTTCTAAAATATTGTCATTAATCTTAGCTCTATAACAATTAAATCTTAGTAAATATTTTCAATAAAAAAAGTAAATACTTTCTTTTAAATTATTTGGTATAACTTAATTAAACATCACCACAGAAAACTTTACTATATAATACCGCTAGTCCTAAAATAAATCCACAGTGAATGAATATTTGAGAAAATTAACATATTTACAAATCTATATCTTATTGTATCGTTGTACAATGGTGCTCTATTTTATAAAAAGATTTAATAATAATGTACAGTCCTCTCATTCGTTCAAGCCTCGAATCGAGCAATAAAAGAAATTTTTAATAAATGCTAAACTATTTATTTGCGAAAGTTTTTAGTTATATATTTTTATTTATCTATACATTTAAAAAATATTTTTTTTAATTAATATAATTATTCGCATTAGTTTTTTCATTTTATCTTAGAAAATGCCCAGAATTTATCTAGTTTGAAAAAATGTTGTAATACCTTCTTTATCGATAAATAGTAAGACCGGTTTCTATTCAAGAAGCGTTCCGAGATATACCCTAGATAACACGTACGTATATGATATATCGCGCATATATATATATATATTTGACCGAAGTACCAACTATTGATAATTAATTATAATTCTTTAAAGTATTTCGTTAAATATTTAAAATTAATCAATAATAGTAAGATTCAATAAAAGAAATAAAAGGCATTATTTGTTTACTCGTATATTTCTATTAATACAAAAATTTCATAGAATGTCAGTTTTATATATTAAAAATCGTAATATGCTACAATATATTTGTATAAAATAGCATATAACTGTTGCAGAAATATAAATATTTAAATTTTCTAACATTTTTTATATTCAACAGTCATAAAACATTAAGCAATAGATTCTAAGATTGATGTTGGCACTTTGAATGAATATTATATAAGCTTTCAATCGTTCGTTGTACAATGTAAAATTATACTTTCATTAATAGTTGCATAGATCGATGAAATGGACGGTGTTTATATTGGAACACAAACATTTGTACGACTACAATATATGAAATGTTTATAAATAATATATTCTATGAATTCAATCGCATCCGATCTTTAACAGTGCATGAAGATTCATTAAATAACGAGATTGAGACGAAATAAAAGATCTTCTTTCTTTTCAATATTTCCAAATGGATAAATGCAACTTAAGGATGCGTAAAGAATAAATCAACATTAAGATATTAATGCTAAAAGACACTTCTTGTAATCACCACTGCAATCACTCTGAAATTAAATAAATTTAATTATAATTGTGTAAAAAGTGCGTCAATTTTACTTATCTGTAAATAATCGATAATAAATATATGTATATGAAACTTACAGATATGGCGTCTTCTAAACTTTGACCATATTGTTGTATGTAAGCTTGTTTAATTTCGCCCATGTCGATTTCAGATCTGGTAACAATTAGTCGTATAAGTCGCTGATCTTCTGTTCCTGCACCTTTCATGCTTTTGTACAACTGTTCAGCAAAAAAGCCAGCTCTGTTTTTAACGCATTTTACTAAAACAGTAATAAAAAAAATTATATTAAAAACTTAAAATTTACGAAATGACACAGTTATAGGCGATCACGTTTTCACTTACCAATGGCAAGTAATCCTTTCTGAATATCGCCAGAAAATTCATTTTCAATGGCTCTTTCAATATCATGACCTGTGATATTACTGTACTGATCAAATATTTGTTTCAACTGAGGAATATTTCTTTGAACCAGAATTGAGTTGAAAACAGATTCATCTGTTCCAAAACGAATTTCACCTGAAAAATATTATTGATTTTTAAATTCATATCTAATTACAATAAGTTTCAATTAACACAATAAAATGTAAACAATCAATTAAAATTTATTGATATATATTTATTCAAATTTAAAAAGAAACTTACCAGCTTGTAATAATTGACGAGCATCATTAGTAGCAGCTGCGAGGTCAATATTGAATGACTCATCCCTATTGCCACAGCATAAAGACACCATGAGTCGTTTGAAGTTGCCAGAAGTATCACCCCTCAAGTCATCTTCCAAAGTTCTTCCATACACTGTAAGTGAAATTCATTTGTTTATATGTATATTTAATTTTATAAATAAATAAATATTACTCTAATGAAAGCATCTCATTAATATAAATAATAAAGTTGTAAGTAAACAGATTTTAAAGATCTTTTAAAGTATTAAAAAATAAACCATTTTAACAGAAACTTAAGGTATTATTACATTATTTCGCATTGTTAATAAAAAAGATAATCAACTCAAGTTTTTGTTAAATAATTAAGTTACAGGTAGTATATAATAGTATTTAATTTCAAATAACAAATTATTTTACTCTTAATACATCGTTTAAAAATGTTTTTACCTAATCAGTGAATACAATTTCTTAAGCATTTCAATATATTATAAATAAAGTATTTACTTGCTTGATATGCCTGCTTGATCACTTGTATTTCATGATTGGACATAGTACATAATACTTCAATCAAAGCAGATTCTTCAGTACCAATACCACTCATTGCATCATGTAATTCCTTTGCATAGAATTGAGGTAAAGGCGTCATCATTGCAACAAGTACTTTTTCAAAATTTCCAGAAGTCTCCGATTTCAAATCTTTAATTAAATCCTACAACACAGAAACGATATGTCTAATTGGTTTTACAATAATTATTAATGATTGAATGTATCCATTCATTCAAAAAATATTACCTTGCCATATAATGTTTTGAATTGATTTGCAATTGCTTGGCGTTGCAAATTGGTACGATGGGCAAGAACTTGTATAATAGCTTTTTCATCTGTGCCAAAACCTTTCATTGCTTTTCTTAAAACTTCAGCATCTGCTCTTGGATCAAAGTTAGAATATTCAGTAACAGTAGGAGATAGCTGCAACAGAAATTAGTTATCAAATTAAATGAGCATTATTAGAGTAATAATTTATTTTATTATAATATAAAACAGGACCACATCTTAATGTCTACGTTACCACATAATCAGTGTCTCATCATTATTACCAAAAAATATATATAAAAATAATTCTTTAGGAGAATATGCAGTATTTTTTATTTTATATTATCTGATATATACAAATTTATCTGATAATTTGGGATATCCATTTTCCACAAAAACAACTCTCACCTTAGCCGGAGCCTTAGTGATTCGAGGGGCCGGTGTTGGTCCTCCATAATTATAGTTTCCACTGACCTGACCCCCAGAATACCCTCCGCCCGGATAAGGAGTCGAGCCAATATTATTTGCAGATGATATAGGATCTGGTTTTTCTAAACCACTCAAAGTAGGATACAAGCCTGAGTTAGAAGTATGGCTAGGATTTTGGGATGCACTAGACCCTAATGGAGATGGATAAAGCTGCTGAGATTGAGAATTGGAGTTAGGTGGATAGGGTTGTTGTTGTGAGGTCTGTGGTGAATAAGATTGTGTTTGTTGGGGATGAGGTGGATAAAGTTGTGGTTGTTTTGGAGTAATAGATGGAAAAGGTAGTTGAGAAGGAGACGAATAAGGTTGATTTGCAGAGTGAGATGGGTATAATGATTGTGGTAGATGAGGTTGTGGGAGATAAGGCTGCTGCCGTTGATGAAATTCTTGAGAAGGATTTGGTGGTTGAAATGCCGAATAATTTTGACCCATAGGATATGGCGTAGATGATTGCGATGTGAATGGTTGTGGGATACCTCCACCTGCATTTGGATAGGGTACCTGTTGAGGTAAATAACCAGGACCAGGAGGATACATAGAAAATGGTTGTGGCATTCCAAAGGATGTTGGAACTTGAGAATATGGTGGAGCACTTGGAGGAGCAGAGGGTGTTCCTGGAGGTAATCCAAAAGAAGTAGGTGGTTTTTGTCCTGGGAATGGTGGGCCCTTGTATTGACAAAGTCAAGGAATGCATAAGTGTAAAAAGATATTTAATACCAATTCAATTATAATAGATTTTTTTGAATTATTTGAACAAATTTAAATTCATTTTATTTTATGTATATTTTATGTAGTTATCGTAATATCATCTCAAATAACAATAAATATCATTTAATAAACATGAATAAACTTATCTTAAAATACCTTCAGATTGATATTTTGTTATTTTTATTAGAAATGAATATAACTATAAATGTTGTCAATTTCATTATTGTGTATATGACTTTTAAATGAAAAATAAAGTTTAAAAAATAGCCATTACATTCTATTTGTTCTAAATTAAGCTGAAAATACAAATGAAAAAAATTGAAATATATGTCAAATATACTCACTTGATAACCGTAGCTCATGTTGAATTTTGTGTATTAGTCCTCTGAGCAGTAAATTAATTCTACAAAATATGAAACATAACTTATAAGTATTCAATATTCAAAAAAGTTTCATAATTATTTTTGCATTTAATGTTTTGAAAAGTTAGCTTAATTTTAAAATTAAAAAATTGATTGTTCAATGGCTTTAAAACATGGACACGAAATTTAAGAAAAAGTAAAGTAACTAAAAATACAGATATAACTCGTCACACCCAGTAAATAAGAAAATCGAAGAGAAATTTCGTAGTATGGTTAGTACAACGTAAGAAAAAAAGGTCAGTCAAGGCCCGAGGGACTACTAACAAGAGCGAAGCTCAAATTTTTATATTTTGTAATTATTTTGTAATTAAAAGAATGTTTTCTGATTAGATAAAAACTCTGATGGTTTTATTTTAAATGTAGAATTTTCTAACGTTCACTATATAGCGCTATCGGTTGCAACACGCGCGCGCGTGTGTACGTGTATATATGCAATTATGTGAGGCTACGAGCCAACTGTCGTGCGCAGACGCATAAGCCGATGTTGTTTCAGCCAGATCGTTGCACAAATGACCATTCAATTCCGTGACGATAGAATAGCTTCGCTCTAAAATAATTGCAACGTCGCCTGGCATCATTGCATTGCTGCATTAAAATATGAAGTGCTATAAAAATTCGGTAGCAACGCGAATGTACATATTACACAATTAGTTTTTCACCGACAACATTCTTAACACTACAAGACAAGAAAGTATTATTTAATTGCCGTTTCAGATCTTTCCCTGACAGTGTCTACCGACTTATAATGATGAATAGCGCTGAGTGTACAAACATATAAGTACATATAACCTTTACGTGTTAAAAATATATAATTACATACAATGATGCAAGTGTATCGTAACGTTGAATTCATCGCGGTAAACTTGTCAGACGTCATGACATTTACAGTGCTCTCCAAATCTAAATTTTACATACACGTGTCAATGTATTCCGGTTCCCGATAGACTCAAAACCAAGTTGAATAAAATTTCCCAGATTATCGATGCTTTTCGAAATATAAAAATACTTCGAAAAGTTACTACAGATCAAAATAATGATTACAAATAGAAAACTACTGACTATTGATTGTGCGTTCGTTGCTGTGTGAAAATTTCGTGTCTCCTAGCTGGTAGGTTCTGCTCAATACTGCTGACGCTATCTGACTGACTGCAATCCACTTGAGCGCGACGTCACGTCACTGCGACCTTTTTAAAAGGTATCGCATATGCTTATACATCAGGAGGGAAGAGGGGGGCTCCGAAAAAAAAAGAACAAAAGGTATGAGCAAGGGGAATTTAGAATTAGAAGAAAATTTACGAAAAGAAGAGATTTCTTAAATAAAATTGTAAAATTGTGAGTGTACATATATATATATATATAACGTATACATATTTTATTAACCAAATTTAATAATGCAATTAATAAACAATTATTTATCCACTTGAAGTGCATTATATATTTATTGATAAAAGCGTGATTTAGTATTTTGAATAAGAAATACATGCAAAAAGTAAAAAAGAATTATCTTTACAGTATTTGAAAATTATGTAAATTTAGATAATAATAGACAGTCAGTTCTGATATATTTCAATATTGTCAGTGAAACACAAAATTATAAAGAACGCCTTAATATACGTATTTTAATATGAATTGTGAATAAATTGCGTTGATTTTGAAAGTAAATAAAAAAATCGTTTTGTTTATACTCGTGATTCAGTGTGCTATGGTATATATTGTGTCGTTAAGGAAGGAATTTTGCCTACGTGTTTTAAGGCAGCGCTGTGGCTTAACGAGCTACGGTAAACCTACGTCATTGACGAGATCTCACCAATGATTCACTCTTCTACTCAACGTCAGTCACCTTGGCAGTATCTTAATGTTTTAAATATTACCTATTGAAATCAATTTTATTTAAATATCATTTCTAAGCTTTTGAAAAAAAATGAAATCTATCTTTATAACGGCATAAATACTACAAATCTCTAAAAAAATTACTTTCTATTCAACAAACGTTCATCACGTTTTTTATTACTCTTCTATTCTACTATTCCATTATTCTATGTATTACCTTGTTATTACTCTTCTTTTTGTATCGCATCATCGGAATCAATTTTAAACATTTTTCGAAGAAGTGAAATCCTACTACAGAATGGCATAGGTGCTTTAAATTACTTTACATAAATTATCAAATAATATGTATCAATTTTTTTATAACTATGTTTTATATTGTGATAGTTGCATCTAAATTTTGAAATTCTTTCTCTATCCATCTCGCTATTTGCTCAAAATTAGTTTTAGACTTCTTATACAAATTAAATCAAAACGTATCAAATGACATAATATAAAAAAAAACATCCATTAAAATTTACAAGTTTTATGAATGATATAAAAGTCATTACTGAATTTTTGAAGATAAAGAAAAAATATGAAACGTATATATTTGTGCTGCAACACGGCAGCAGATGTGCACTCATGTGCAATAGCAAGTGTGGAACAAATTTTTACTACTGGAGGAGAAAATGAAATGGGACCATTTCAATAAATGATCCTATCCTATCCTATCCTCCTAATCCTCCTATATAAAAAAAGAGATGGACTGGAAAGTGTTCCGTTTTATTCATGACGTGATTGCGTGATAGATGGTCACATGATATGACGTATCATGTACACGCATATATGATTACTGATTTGATTAGACGCGCGAAATAAATCTTTAAAAATATAAGATATTATTCAGGATTATGCTAATTATTCATTATTATTAACCAATAATTTGAGTTTGTCATCTGTAAAAATTTCAAAATCATTGTCCTGAATAATTGTAGTTGGAAAGATCGTTGAAATAACAGTTTTCAATGTGATAAATTGTAAAGTTCATATATATGAAATATAAATGTTTTGTAGATAAACTAACTTCTCGATTGCAAACTGTAACTGACTAATGACGCATGTGTCTAGTATATAGTACATTACGATACAAGTGCGGGAAAATGGATTCTTGTCTCGTGTGGCGTTTACGCCCAAGCGAAGCGAGGGTGGAAAGGTACACGAGACGCTCTTTCCCGAACATGTGCCGTACTGTATTTTTTGATAGGACGTGTGGAAAGTGCGATTTTCAACGCACATTTGTTGCCGAGCGTGCGGGAAAAACACACTTTCCGCACGGAGTGTCGAAATATTTTTATTTGCGCGTATGAATGAATAAACATCCATTAGTTTTCATATTACAATAGTTATATGTGAGACCTATATTATTTTAGAAAAATATGGTTTCTCTCTTTTATTAAAAAGAAAACTTTCGGTGTCGAGAACAAATAATTATATTCTTTTGAGACTGAATTCTATTTGCAACGCGACAAGTCCTTCTATCACCTAAGTATTTTTGCTTAAAAAATTATACTTCAGGCTTTGAAAATGAAGACACGCTAAGCATGACATATTTAGAGTTTTATTTATTTCGTTTTAAACGTAGAGATATTGAGTTTAAATTTGGACAATTAATTAATACATACAATTAACAATACAAATAAAGTTAAATGGTTAACAGAATTGTGTTTCAGAAATTTCTTCGATAAATTTTTAAGACATTTGTACAATTTACAACTAAGTTCTTAATAAAATACTTGTTTTAAGCAAAAAATTCTAAATTCTACCAGTTATTATTTTACATTAATCATTGAATAGAAATAATTATTGAAAGAACATCAATGTTACTACTCAAAACTTGAATTTGATTCTTAAATAAGTTTGTGTCTAAAATAGTAAAGAATGAATCTGGCGCCATTGATGGTGGTAAAGGTTGCCAAGTATCTGATTAAATATGGCAACCACGCTAGTTCGGCATGAATGGAAAGTGGCATCTTGAAGATGTGCGCTTTGAACACTCTCGCTCGTGGTTGAGGCCCAGCAACTTCTCTCTACTTTGCTGTAGCTCTGCGCTACGCTCGCTCTTCTCGTCAGCCGATGATCTTGCGATCATCCTGAAATATCGTAGTTCCGCGGCTTGGTCTTCAGCATTGGCTGGTCTAAAGTCATCCCGAGTCGATATCTTCTTTAAATTATTCTGCTGCAAATGAGTGGGATTCGCAAATCTGTACCAGTTAAGTACCACGTGCTCGGGATTTATTCTTTTGAACTCTATAGAATGTCAAATTGTTATTTTTCTAACTAAATAATTTCATCGGTAACAAAATGTGGATAGATTTGAATAGCGATAGTACGGTGAACCTCTGAAATTTTGCGTATGATGTGTGTTAAAAATGCGCTTCAACTCTATCATACAAGAAATATAATAAAAAACTGCCTATGACTTTCTGTAAGGACCTGCCGATATACTTTCAACTGAATAATAAATAATTGAAATTAAAACATAATTGAACAAAAAATTTATTAATGTATTTATATATATCATGTCGAAAATAAACCATTTTTATATATTTTATTGTTAATATTTGTTTTATGCTTAAATATTTTACAAAATCTATCGACATGAACTGCGTTAATTTAATATGTTTATTAAGAAAAATAAGGTAATATTAATTCTGTATTTTTTATGAGATAAAACATTCAAAGCAATATAACTGAAAATTTTATGGATAAGAAACTTGTTATTAATTATAAATATGATAAGATAATCTATTTATCTATAAAATTTATCTTTAGCCAGATAAACTTGGCATATATAAAAACTCGAATACGACTTATAATTTACTGAGATTTCCGTTTCTAAATGTTCAATCATATATTGTAAATAAATATATATAAATTTAGAATAACTATATGGAACAATACTTTAATTGTTTTTAATAATTGTAAATATCTATGCAATTTATTATATAAAAAATTATCAATAAATTTTTTATCAAGTATTCTTAAACTTTTGTTATTGAAATATTTTTTTATAATACTTAACCAGGTAACGAATAATCGAAAATAATAGTCATCTAATACTGTTGGAAGTGCACGATAATACTTTTATAAAAGTAGCTTCACCAAGCAATGTTTCTATTAATATTTTTAATAACGACGATTTGGAGTATTCCAGGTATGTACTAGTAAATACTTTATAAATTATTACAGTTTCAACAACATGGTTATACTAAATATTTACATAAACTACAGCTTCAGCACAGAAATGCGATCCACTTGATTTTGGAAAAGGAAGTGTAGTATGTCAATGTAACTCTACATACTGTGACTATTATCCTGATCCTTCTCCTCCAAATAAAGGAGAATTTATTTTGTACACTTCAAGCAAAGGTGGAAAACGACTTGAACGATATGACGGCAGAATTTCAAACGACCTTGGAAACGGTTATAAAATTAAAATTAATGTGAAAAAAGAATATCAAAAAATTGAAGGATTCGGAGGAGCATTTACGGATGCCGCATTAATAAATATAAAATCACTCAGTTCAAGTACCCAAGATCATTTGATGCGGTACGAATAAACGGAATTTTTTATAATCAATATATTCCATCTATTACTTACATTTTCTATATTAAATTATATTTTTAAAATATAATTTTTCCAAGATCTTATTTCACTTCTAATGGAAGTAATTACAACCTTGGTCGTGTACCTATCGCTGGAAGTGATTTTTCTACAAGAGGTTACACGTATGACGATACAGAGGGAGATACAGCTTTAAAAAATTTTACATTAGCTAAAGAAGATATTGAATTGAAAATTCCATTAATGAAAGAAGCTTTAAAATTGAATCAAGAATTAAGATTTCTATCAGCTTCATGGACTGCTCCGCCATGGATGAAAAACCGATATTCATACAATGGATTTAGTAAATATAATTAATTTATGTCTATTTCGAACTCTCTAATGCCTAAATTTATATTTAACTAATATTTTTATATTTCTTCTGATAAAACACCATGTTACTAAATTAATTTTAGGTTACTTGCAAGAAAAATATTATCAAATCTATGCAAAATATATAGTAAAGTTTCTGGAAGAATATAAAAAAAATGGTTTAGATATATGGGCTGTGTCAACGGGAAATGAACCTTTTACCTCATTACTTCCTATAAGTAAGATTAATTCTATGTTTTGGTCATCTGGTACTGCCTCAAAATGGGTCATAAATAATTTAGGCCCTACATTAGAAAAATCAAATAGTAATGCTACAGTTATACTAATGCTAGATGATCAAAGAATGTCATTGCCTTGGTATGTGATTGATGTAAAGACGCGACACAGTGAAGCTTTGAAATACATCAAAGGGATTGCTGTTCATTGGTATACTGACGATTTTATTCCTGCTAAAGTCCTCAGTTTAACTCATGATATTGTTCCTGAAAAATTTATTTTGATGACAGAAGCTTGCCTTGGTAAGTAATTCTTCTAAATATATGGTTTCGTATGGGACTAATCACTGTTTGATACTCTCACTATATATCAGTTAAACATTAATTAGACAATATTAATAAATATTTTACTTTAAAAGTTAAGATGCTGATAGAAGTATACCATTTACTACGACTGGACAATTTTCCAAAACTAATGCTAAAACTTTCATAATCATATAATTTTAGAATTATTTTTTATTCTTTAAAAATAGTACATGATGACACTTATATTAATTTTATAGGTGATCGTCCGTGGGAAAATCCAAAAGTTATTTTAGGATCATGGTCACGAGCAGAACGTTTGATTGCAAAATTATTTGAAGTACGTTTTATATATTGATTTTAAATTAAATATCATAATTAATATAATAAAACTATACTAAAATTCGTCTGTAGAATTTGAATCACTGGGTTGTGGGATGGGTAGACTGGAATCTTGCTTTAGATACTAATGGTGGTCCCAATTGGGTTAAAAATTATGTAGATGCACCAATAATTGTTGACGCTGGGAAAGATGTATTTTACAAACAACCACTGTATTATGCTATGATTCATTTTAGTAAATTCATACCACGAAATTCAATTAACGTAAAGTCTGAAAGTAACAACAGAAATATTTTATCAATAGCATTCAAAACTAATAATGGTCATAAAACTGTTCTCTTATATAATAGGTAAATGCGATATACTCAAGTAAACATAAGAATAATAATATTAGTAAGTCATATGATAAAACATTCTTTTTGTTACAGAAGTAATAAGAAAATGAATGTATCTGTGATTGATGACGAAATCGGCAACATAAACATTGAACTACCAGAATATTCACTCCATACTATTTTATATTAAATTAATTTACATTAGTAATATAGAAATATATTAGTAATATAGAATTATATATTTAATACCAATATAATCAATATACATATAATTTTAATTACATCTACCTCTCCTTTGATAGAATCACGAAAATTAATTGAAAGTTCAGAAATAGCGTTGTAATAAAATAAATCATTCCATTTTCAAAATAATTCGATACTTTATATGCGAATTCATCATCTGCAATATATTATGCGGTCTATTCATATATTCGATGATTTTCATTAACATTAGTTATGGATAATTTTATGTAGGCATATTTTGAAGACTGCGACTTCTTAGTATACGTACATATAATAGTAATAAGTAATGTAGTATTGGAAAAATTTTTTAAATCTGCAATAAAATTTCGATTATAACGATTATATATCCCATTAATATGAAGAAAATTATGTTTCATCTAACGCAAACAAATGGATCCATAATTTGCAAAAAATATTAAAAATTAAATACTACCAGCAATTAATTTTTTACATGGATTACGTAATCAAAATAATTATAGAGACTAAAGATGATTGAAAATAAGCTCTTTTCTGTCATGAATTATATGCAATTATTCTATGCAACTAATAATAAAAATTATAATAGAAATACTTGGTAATATAAAACATTTGTAAAGGTTGATTAAATAAATAATTGCACAGACCGACAAAATTTCAAAATATAAAAAACCTAAAAATGCGATAGTATATTTCCGAAGCTATTCGATGCGCTGAATCAGAATCTGAGTTTAGAATTGATCCATAATAATCTCGAGATATCCTAACATAAAAGTGTGAAAATCACGATATTTTGCTATGTTCGAGGTTACGTAATATCGTGAATAAATTTTTCTTCCAATAAGAAGAGTAGTGACAAAGCATCGCTCTTGCCCATTAAAACCCAATTTCGAATTCTTTCATTGAAATGTCATTGATTGAAGTAAACCACCCCCAGAGCGCTCCTGAATTTTGGGTCGTTATCTCTCACGATTTTACTTCACGGTCGTCTCTTATCATATGCGCGCTCCTTAATTAGGTTTGGATATAAGATTAAAGAAGAGAAAACCATTACATGTTCAAAATAATTTATTAAAAACGTTGCATACTTAATATTCGAATCCGTAATTAGCAATATATTATGCAGTTTATGCATATATTCAATAATGTTATATAGTAACTATGCATGTTATGTGAGTATTTACGAGCAATTCTTTATGTTTTTATTTTTTGCAGTCAGTACTTACATGTTTGGACAAGAAAAATCCATTATTATATCAATCGTTGAAAAATTTTACATATTGTTTGAAGTTATGATTCATCATAAGACGTATTCGCGATATTTTCGCAATTTATTTTACTTTATTTTAAAAAAATTATGATGTAAACAAAATCTGATTAAGAGTTCACAGTGTGATTAATTTTTATAAGGCTATAAAGAAGCTAGTGTTATACTATCTTTTCATTTTGATAAACTATTACATAATTACTATTGAGCTTAGAAGCTTTTATATTGACTAAAAGGTGAATTTTTGCTGGTACTGTAGTAGTAAAAAAGCTTCAATTTTAATTTTTCTGAAAAATGTCTAATTATCTTTTAAATACATTTTTATAGTTGATGGCATTGCTTACAAATATAATGAAACAAGGGCAGGAAAATAGATTCTGGTCTTGTTGCAACGTTTCAGCCTGATCGAAGAATAAATATTGAGCCAATAGACAAGAATTTTATCCCGAATTTATATTGTACTATATTTCCTAACGCGATAAGTAAAAACAAATTTCTGAGTACAGCCTTTCTGTCGAATGAATAAAGAAATTATCTTTTCGGCTGAGGTATTGAGAAATATATTATGATTACAATTTTATTAAATACTTCAGTAAAGATATTTTGAACTGTTCCTTGCAGAACTTTTCAATTGTGATTTTATGTTTAACTTTAGTGAAATGAATATGAACTTTGAGAAAAATTTCCATTCGTGTAACTATTTGACACTGTCAATGCGAAATTCTTACGATCTGTAGCTAATCTGTTGTAAAAAAATAAGCTCATGAAATAAAAATTCTCTGTAATTAAATTATATATTATTTACATATATCAATTTCAGAAATGGCTTATGTTACAGTATGTACGCGACTAACATGGATCATTTTTTCAGTAACACATAGGTGTAAGTCTTTATATGAGAAATACAAAAAAAGTTAATAATCGTACCTTTTGTATTGCATGAATATTTTTTTTTATTGAGATAAATTTGATTAATTATCATTTCATAATAATTAATTAATTGATTTTTTAATTTCTATATATTAAGAATACTTCTGAAATCTTTAGTTGCATTATTTCGATAAATAATAATAATACTAATTACAATTCCTGACTGAAAAATAAATATTATAATTTAAATCAAAAGATTTTCTCATATTTCCAATTTAAAATTTAAATTATTTCAAATTTCAATAATTTCCTGAACTTATATTTTATAATATATATTTTATCATGCTACTTGCAGTTATCAGTCTTATATAAATTGATTGGAACTTATTGCATTTCAAATTTTAATTTATGAAAAATATAATTGCAATTGATGTGAGTTACAAAACGTAAAAATTACATTGCAATAAAATTGTGACTTATTCAGTGGTGAAATAATATTTCAAAAAATTATTACTTATGTCAATTTATAAGATCAAAATCTTGTTTATATATGTTTTCTTTTTATAAATAGTCTAAAATTGCTCTTAATTTACTTTTTCTACAGATATTGTTTTTATTTTATGGTGTAGTGTAATTTGCTAAAATAAGCAAATAATTTAATTTATATTTTCAATCCCTGTAAAATAGATATATGGCTAAATTATTCATTTCCTTTTGCCGCATTTACAAGAAGCTGATTATTTTTGTAACCCCAGTGTTAAGATGATGACGTTATCAATTATCAGAATCTTTTTTTATTAATGCTTTATTGTAAACAGAATTAAAAACAGAATAATGCAACAGAAAAAAGACAGAAATAACATTATTTTCTGCAAATTTATCATTGCTTCAAAATTATGTTATAACAATTATATCTGTCGATAAAGTATCTTGTTCTAACAATAAAAATTTTGTTTTTTTCGGTAAAATTTTGTAACTTTGGCTTTAATTTTATGTTCTTTCCTCATTTTATAGCATTTCATACGTTGAAAAGATAAACCGACATTCATTATAACGTTATTATTTTTTTAGTCTACATAAAGTTGATTAAAGACAGAATAAATCGCTTCGAACCTTTACGCACGCCTTGTGCTTTACATTTCAAATGTTTAACATAATAATAAAATATGATTCTTCAGAAGCGTATTTTTCATAAAAATGTATCATTTATAATCACACTATGTTTTTTAATCTTATCATATATCATTTATACTACATTTAGTTTATATGCTTCAAGAGCAAAATTTCCATTTTAAAATATTAAAAAAAAATTATTTTATTACTATTAATTTTTTTTTCTCAAAGTAATTTGAATTTTCTTCCTAAATTTAATACGTAACAGATGGTTTTCCAACAGTCGACAATTAATAATACGGATAGTAACATTGAAAATGAAATATATAAATAATGCAATACTTGAGCAATATATGTTTCAAATAATTAACTCAAACATCACAAATAATTAGTTGAAAAATAGTCGGTCAGTTTCAATTTGAGTAGGGTTTATGATATGCCCTACGTATTTTAGATTGTTTACAATAACGTTGTGGTATATACAATACATAAATTTACTGTTCTATTGCTATGAACAGTTCTTATTATTGTTCGCTACAGTCACATTCTACATTAATAGCCGTGTATATATTTTACAAGACAACACAAGATGACTCCGATTTAACAATATTTTGTGCATTATAACTTTTTTTGCAACTAATTTAAGTTCGGACCGTACATAGTAATGGTGCGTTCATTACTGAAAAATCATTGACCTTAAAATGTCTTTGATATTCAGTAGTTTATCGAAACCATTTACATTAAACAATATAAATTAATTTCTACAATATTTACATTATAAATACGAGCCATAAAGATCCTTAAAATAAATAACATAATCAGTGTCATTGTTACTTGTGACAAAATTTTCATAAACGTAATAGTCGATTTCGTCGAGTTCGTCAATTTCAACAGATTGTATGGCCATAAATCTAAAATAACTTATAAAGTATTACAATCAAGAAACACATGAGGGCGCGTTATTTTTATCGAACTTTTCACTAATTTATGCTACTTTAAGTAGTAAGTTCCTTTGTAATAAAATCATATAAGTCTTCTATTTTTTTTAATTTTCGTTCATATATTGCATAAAATAGTTTAACAGGTTAAATTTTATTTTAGAATTAGAAAAACTATGAATTATTGACTGTTTATTTAAGACAGCTTTTTGCATGTATTTTAAAATTCTTCTTATTTATTCCATTCAACTCATTTGATCTCATTATTTTACTTACTTTTATATGTAATAAAATGATAAGCACATAGTTTCATTTATATTGATAATTTTTTTTAACTCAACTTTATGTATGTTAAAAAAAGTTTTTTTTTGTAAAAGTATATAATAAAATTTGTTTTTAATGAACATAAAACTGCAAGCGAAGGTTTCGCTGTCATAGGATTGTACTTAGATTTGATAGAAAATAATTGAATACCAATGCTTGCATAAAAATTGTACTTATAATTTTTCACTTACTATGTAAGATTACAAATTTAAATGTCAAGGCTCAGAAATAACACAGTTTGAAATGTTATCAGAAGGCCATTACATAGTGTATTGAAGAAAATCATTCTTTTTACTTTTGTATTAAAATTGAAATGTAAGTGTATGAAATTCATCGTTATGCCAACTATCGAAGACAATTATCGGGTGAAAAATGAAGTAAAGAAGTATGAAGTAGTAATGACTGGCAGTGAAATCGAAAATTAAATTAACTATCTTTTAAATTGATTTATTGTTTTATTAGAATAAAAACTATTCATAATTCTTATTCGTGTTTTTTCGATGATTGAATGCAATAGAATATTATTTAGGAAATATAATGTTTTTTAAATTCAATTAAAGAATATTATTGCATAAATTTTTTATAGAGACCATACCAAACTTCAATTTAAATTCATTATGAATTCAAATTTTTAATAGAAATTATTTTATTTGGCACTTTTTCATAAACATTGAGTCATTTTGGTTAATTTATTATTTAGAATCTTAATTTAAAAGTTTGGTCCCAAAATCATAAGATTCAAATACGATAAATATTAAATTAGAAAATTTGCTATAATATAAGTTATTAGCAGTAAAAATATCACTGGTTTGATTTCATTGTTTGTTAAAATGATTCATTGTTTAATAAAATGGATTATACTAAAAATTATTTTGTGCTTCGATAGTTGATGTTTCATTTTAGTGCGATTTAAACATATTCATCATATTCGTCTATTTGAAATTGTTACTTGTATATATAAAATTTTTATACTTCAATGTATACGAGTCGCAAAACAATACAATTATATAAAAAATGATTTTCAAAGATTTGTAGCAAGCTGAATCTTTTATAATAATGATTTATATAGTATAATCAAACCATTTTACATTTCAGAATTGAAATTAATTAAAAGTTTTAATCATGGAGATCCGTTATGAGTTATGGAACTTCATAGTATTTATTGGCTGTGATTCGAAAAGTCAAGATTAATATATCTGTACTACAAACCATTTTTATTTTTAAATTAACAACCTTTTTAAAATTGTTGTTTTCAACTCTAATAACTCAAACACTTAAAATAAAAATTATTTTGATGCTTCTTATTGTGTATTATTTCAATGAAATTTAATAAAAATATTTTATCTTTTATTTTGTTGTGCCTTAAAGAAAAATTAGATTGATTTGCGTATCAACAACGAATTTTTTTGGGAAAATTTTTATAAAACACGATAAAAAAATTATATTTTTATGTAATTTGACTTATTGCTTATCAATTTGACTTAAACATTCAAATCAAATGATTAATAAGAAATGTCCTTGTTAGTGGCAAATGTCGTCAATTTTCTATGCTTTTCATTATTTTAAAATACTTAATTTTCAACCTTAACCTTCTCAAGTATTGACAATGCTTGATTTTTATAATAGCTTAATAGTTTATATGCGACCATATTAGACAACTTCCATGTATTTTATTATTTTTGTGTAATTATGATTGAAAAACTAAAATCAAAGCAGTGTTCGTTTTATGAAAATCTTGTACTAAAATTGCTTGATTTCTAGAAATAAGTATTTATGTTTCAATTACTTAATTTTTTCATGCGAAATGTTCTCAAATACTTGTGAGTTTGCTTATGATACTCGACAAGTGCAACTGTTACTATTTCTCTACAATTGAGTTACTTTTATGTATATGTACATTTATTAACAACATGCTCGTGCCCATTATACGTACATCGTTGATTTTAATTTTTGCCCTGAAATAAATAAACCAAACATCAAATTCGTACGCGAAGTTAATGATATTAACTTCATGATTCTTATTGATTATTGATAATATCTCGAGGTAAGCTCTGTTAATAATACAATCAACACTCGTATTGGTTGAGCAACAATTTTAGAGCACAGCTCTACGAAGGAAACAGTTCAATAATGATCAATTGTCAATCGTCACTTTATTATTTATCACATAAGTTTCGACTACCTACATTGATTCATACTTACTTGACTTCATCTAATTACATTACATTTTATCGCACAATACTATAGGAGTGTTTTTTTGCTTACTGTTTTAAATAATCTTACCAAATGCAGCGTTTTGTACACACCATATGGTTATTATTTCAGCAGCAGCAAACTTATTGTTTGGTCGTACACACTAACAGACTTAGAGCTTAATTGTTAATTTGAAAGTTGAATACCTAGTGCATGCACTGAATTTCGTATGCACTGTTTACTTTTATTTTTAAACTGCGTCTAACGTAATATATGCATAATACGAAATCGACTAAAGATAGTATCTCCTTTTTCTGCTTTGTAATGTAAATTCAATCATTTTTTTTTTAGTTTCTTAACAGTTAAAACTTACACATAATATTCATAAATTAGCGCGAGAACGAGAGAGATTTCTTTCATTCGAAATCTTGGACAAATTAATTGGAAGAATCTGTGCCACAACTTTGTAAATCAACATTCATCATTCGCTTAATAATTCATAATATCTATAAAATTAATACCAAAATTCAATAAAAGTTTTGCATGAAAAGGCAAAACTCATTACCAAACGATATAAAGTCATTACGCGAATAAGATTATTTTCTTCATTTGTCTTCTGCTTCTTATCACTTGCAGAAATCTATCTGTGTCTCGTGATGCGAGTTCTGTGCGTTACGTCAATGGTTGGAACATATTTGATTCACTAATCGTGCATACGATAGCCATCGTTTAATGGAAGAAGTTTCACAACCTGTGCAAAAAATCATAGTGGTTCGAGCAAGGTCCACAACGGAAGAATTCGTATAGCACACTTACCCATGGGGAAATGAGGGGGAGAGAGAGAGAGAGAGCGCGCGCGAGATATAGGTTACGCAGAGCTTACAATCCCCTGGGTGAGCAACAATCTGGCTGTCGATGCGACGTAGCGAAGGGAGTTGAGGTTGTCGATCGTCACACAGTGGTGACGCGATCGACCTCGACGTATCGCACAGAACTCTCGCTGTGTCAGCAAATCACTTCCTTGCCGTCGATGATGGCCGTCTCGGAGGAGACGCTCTTCAATCGGTGCTGAGACAGTGAACGGCCACCTGGGCCCTGGCGACAAGCTCGCCACGACATTATACATAGTAAACCGGCGATCGAGAACAATGCTATTGCGCCGAGACCGAGATGCAGTGGTGGCAATTTCAATAGTATCGAGCAGTGGGACAAGGCCTCGTCGTAACCGGTCGGACAGTGGCTCACACCATCGCACCATAGCGATGCGTTTATGCAGGCGTCCAACTCCGGGCAGCGGTGCTCACAGTCTTGTCCCGATTGTAGACCCGCTAGAGCCGATAGCACCGTGGGTCTGTTGGCGAATTCGTCAATTATTATAACAAACATCACGATCTTTGTTCAGTTTATATTTTCATATTATCTTCTGCACAGTTTAATTGTACTTCAAAGAAGTCTCTAATGTCTGTTAAATCATACGTTTATCTAAATAACCTGACAATTCTAATGAAAATAATGCAAAATCTTTCCAAAAGCTTGATTGTCACGAAGAACGAACTTCAATTGAAAATGACAAGGAAACTTACCGTCTAGTGAGTTCAAGCCACATAACATTGTACTCGGTATTCTCTTTCTGGCTGATAACATACTCGATGGCGATGCTTCGAGCAGATTGATGGCTTGGTGGTTTGAATATGTCAGTGGGGTCATTGACGGTCCAGCCGTCGCTGAATACCTCGACGAAGCTATGGCGTGCATTGCCACCTGGTTTCGGGCATACGGCTGCGTGAAGTTCGCCTGCAGTCTGCACCACGATGCGGTTAGGCGTTTCACACTTGGTGCGGTTACTTGCTATTACTCCGGGAAGCCTCACGTATAGGAACTGCTCGTGTGCAGGCTCGATTAACCACGGAAGGCTCTCGCAGTGGAGCTGCAGCAGATGTTTCAATTTAGTTTTGGTCTTTTATTGGGAATCGGTAATATCGACTTACTAAGTTGACGTTTACATGTCGAGGAGAACATTTAAAAGAAGGACATTTAGTAAAACAAATAATGCTTACTTCATCTGCATCTTCCAGATAGAGTTGATTTTTTATTTCACCGGAAGGCCCGCGAACCCTCCTCTTTTGCAGGCACTGTGTTGTGGTTTTAACAAAGTCCCACTGACCCTCAAAGAAGAGGTTATTGTAGTCGTCGAGGGCATTCATCGAATGAACCATCAAGTGAACCTCGACAATGTTTGACTTTGATTTGAAGTGCATTGGCAGTGAGCGATTCGAGCAAAAGCAATCCCGTTGTATCACTGCTGCGTTTGCCCATGGCAGTTCCATTACCTGTGTGTGTACGTTACACATTCATACACCACAATGCACCATATTAGAATAGAAACTAGCCTTCGACCAGTTGGCTTATATAAGTTATTCATCGAGTCAGCTTGGGACGGATAACGCTGCTCACTGTATTGGGAGGTCCCTGGCATGTTACGCATGAGCCGAAAAATTATCGATTTTGGTCAATATACTGCGGCTTTTCAATCGAATTTGCCTTCCGAATTTATGCGTCTAAATGTGAATGTATTATCATCAGTGATTTTATCATCAAAGCTCAAAAAATGCATAATAGTATAATATCCCGGAGCAATATAAATGAATCAGTATGAAACGAAATTGATGAAACAGAGGAGTATCGTAATTCAATAATCTACATACGCTTGTGCTGTCTGCTCGTTCCAATTAATGTGCAATTGTTTCTGACAATCGGCAAATAAAGCGCTGACAAAAAGAGGACGATCGATGCGTGCACGTTGTATTTTCATTTCTCGTAAGCGAAGTTGAAACAAGCCTTTTAGGAGCGTTTGTTCGATAATATCCAATTTTTGTGATCGTACAAATCATCGCGATATTTAAACGCGCGCAAAGTCAAGTGACGTTACAAAAGGCAAGGTCTAATGATCAAAAACAAAGGCGACCGCTCGAACGCTTACACACTGTGCAGACGGCTTTTTTTTTTGCGCGGGCTATTGCGCTTAATTAATACAGAAACGAAAGCAAGCGCATACATACGCTGGAATTGCGTATTGCCATAGTGACAAAATGTCCAGCAAAACTATCTCTAGGCTAGTCTCTTTGTAGGCGCGTTGCTACGATAGTTCCGAGTGTGTACTGCACCGGACGGCCGGCGAAATAGAAGAGCAATCGCCACGCGGGCATGCTGTGGACCTGGAGCAGCGCTTATGCGAAAAAAGAGAGCCGCTCGTGCAGCCTTCGTTTCCGTTCTCGTTTTAAACGCTTGCTATTGTCGTCGCTTTCGCACCCTTCACGCCTGCGTATATACACGTTCAATTTTGCTTCATTTCTTTTTTATTCTTCCTTTTCTTTACTCTATAAAGCGTGGAATATATCATATGTGGGCCGCCTTTTTTATTAAAATTTTATCTCGATTGGAATAGATTTTATTAATTACGTTCGAAATTACTCCAGAGTATCTGCGTAAGTAATACGGAAAAGCGGATAATTTGAATAAGTGAACGACCAGTGAAAATATTTGTAATTTTTTACAGTTTAAACATGCCGTGAATATCATTATATAATTCAATCTTCCTACAAGTAGACTAATAAGCACAAGTAGACTATAGAATATCGGTTAAAGCAAGTTTATTAGATAGATTTATTCTGATAAGAAAAACTATTTTAGACTAGAGACATTTTCAAAATATCTATTTTTTTCTGATTTCACATTTCGTCATTATTTGGTCGATCTTCAAACAAAAGCTATTAGCCGTTTTATAAATTGTCCACGTCTTTTTTTGCATTATTTTATGAAAATTGTTGCAATAATTCTCATTTTCTATACATATTATATTACGAGCCTCTTCCTCAAGATCAGACTCCATACTAACAATACCACAATTTTTAAAGTAAAATAATTTACGACAGTCTTGCGCAGTCTGTGATTGAGTTTCACTCTTCCATTTAGTGCTGTTGTTACCACAGGTGTCCAAAACAGTACAAGAATTTTTTCTTCCATGGTATTGCAAGACCGTCGCCACACTACGCCAGCATCGCTAGTCGATACAGATTGTCAAGCATTTAAATTGCTTTCCTTCAAAAACTATAGTATCATCGGCATGGAGTAGGGTCACTACACTGTGATCTCGGGAAAGACGCTCTCCAAATAGTTCCGTAAAAATTTCACTTAAATAAGTTCGTTAAATTGTTGAATTATCTGCTACAAGGGCACTAACCTCACGGAAAATCAAACTTATTCTGCAAAACATCTGTAAGATATGCGGTTCACGGCTCTACCTAGAACTGCGTAAAGCTTGCATAATAAGAAGTACAAAATATGAGCGAAGAGGAAAATTCGTCGAGGCTTCACATCGTAGCAAGTTACTCGTAGAATCTAACGTTGATTTCTCACTCGTGTGCCTTTTGTGTAAATCTAGATATCGACCCGACGCGTCGCTGCTCGTCAACTACAACGGGGACGGAATTCCGCCAAGGAGGAAAAGGAGCGAATAAGTATAGGGAAAATCCTTGGGAAGTTTACCTTCAAAGAGAAGCTGCTTGTACCGACACAAAGAAGTCGATTGAAATCGGAACTTGAAACGCTACGACAAGAGCGGTTGCCGTTGAGGAGCTTGTTGAACCGCAATTTCACTACCTCGTCGTGTTCACCTTCGAAGCGGTAAATACAACTGAAACAACAAACAAAAAAGAATATAAATATTTCAGCTCGCGCGATGATTCGCATGCAATCGCTTATTTTCGACCTCGAATTTCCGAACACACATAGAAAGTTACTCGAGCCTTGTGGCGCTCGAAACGTTCCCCGTATGAAGACTCCACTGATCTTCTGCTGACCTCTCTTTCAAATTTGCAAGCCGTGCCAAATCTTCTTATGTCGTCACTGTCCTTTCCTCATATTATCGATAGTCGATATTGAATTAATCACGGTTCGTTGCCTCTCCATTAAAGTGATGGGCGTAAACTTAGACGAATATTATCATATCAGAAAATCAGGTTTTTCTGTGTGCACCGACTGTTGACGCAGAATTTCAACGTGCCATTTTAATAGCAGCTATTGTAATTAACGTATAATTTGAATGATTCAGGGAAACAAGTCTATATATCGTAAAAATGAGTATTAACTGGTTATAGTTGGCTGGGCTATTTTCAGGTAATTTACGTGATTGTTCGAATAGAGTTACTTCGTACCTGCACACATATACGTGGGGCATGCTCTCCTACCTAACAGCGCTCCGTAATTACTATGCAAACAAGCATTAGGTTATTATTACCCTAGTATAGACTAGCTACATTTCGCTGTCGGACGCCAACTGGCAATTACACTACACTGCCATGAAATCTCGAGAAGTAGATGCGAGATAGGATATAAGCCAAGAGAAAAGGGACGTATACAAAAAGCTATCTAAACGTGAATAGAAAATATTATTGAATAACTCGAAGAAGCGGATAATATCGTATTGTTGATGGCTTTCAATAATCTCGTTGGTCACTACCCTTAACCATTTGGATTTTCGAAAGAGAACAGTGGCCATATCATCCTGCGCTGAGTCTATTCACGCGTTATGAATTTTACGGGGCTTTGCTTTTTTGCGGCTTCGCCAGAGCTTTATTCATCGATTTCAACTGAAAAAAAGCGATTTTTAACGACGGACTATTTTTTTTCTGCGGCGGTTCAACGATTAATCATGATTTTATAGTTGGAATCAAACCAATTTCGATCACAGTTCAATGGCTTACGTTGTTCATTGACAAAGACTAGTAAAATTTCATGTAATATAGTAGATAAATAAAATATGTTCCTCAATATTTTTTATAAGTATGTGAAATAACCTGAAGCACCTGTGACCTGCATATCGCGAGTTCAATATACGATGCCAATATAGCACAATTCAAACGGCTATTGAACGACTCAACTCTAACGCAGCCGATAGGAATTCGTTATCACGTAGCGTGCGACTGAAAAAAATGGCCGCTTGTGGTTTTTTTATATCGTAAAAACCGAAAGCGACTTCCTGTTTTTACGAGCCCTATAAAAGTCGGCGAACCAACCGATATTTTATAAGAGTTAAACCAAGATATCTAACTGCGCGTAGGTCGTGAGGTCACCTGATAGAGAAATCACGACGACGAGCAGATTCTCCTTGTGTAGATCTATTTACTCAACTCCTTTTCTTTCTCTAGTTATCTTGTTCAATCTGCCTTTCAGGGTCGTCATTATGGTCGTTTACAAACTCAACTAAAATTTCTGCAATTCAATTATCGGATCTTGTCGATTTGCCTTATCGTCGAGCACTTTTTTAATTGTACACTAATTTGCTCACTGACAATTTTAATCCGGTCGTTTAATAATAAATGAGCTATTGATACACTTACGTCAAATTCTTGGCTCCTCCACGCCCATATAAGAAAATATCTCTTGGTGCGCGAAACCTTCTGTCTGGATAACTATCACGATTTCGACTGTAGAATACACGGGAACAAGGTCCAGCTCCATAAGGATCTCCATCTTGGTAAAGGTCAACAAATTCGTAGAGAGCACGGAAATCCAAGGGCCTGTATAATAATAATAATCAAAATTTCATCGATATTCCTACTTGAAAGTGAAATAAGAAAAAAAATGAGGTTGCTGAAAGTGAAACTATTTTTCGGCTACACGTACTCGATTGGCTGAGTAGTAAATAAATAAATAAGTAAATCCTAGCATGAAAGGACATCTGAAAGAACATTCTCGGAAGCTCACTCTTAATTTAAGAGCTCGAGCGCGAGAGTAAATTCATTTTCCACCGGGTGTATTTCTATCCTGGAGGTTTTATAGCGTCGATTGACTGATTTTATCGTCGCAGTGAAAATCCACTCACGGCACTCTCTCTCCTCTCGTTTTCTTTCTGTAAACGAGAGAGAGAGAGAGAGAGAGAGAGAGAGAGAGAGAGAGAGAGAGAGAGAGAGAGAGAGAGTGCACGGTCAGTCAGTAGCAGAGAAGTACTTGATTTTAAGAGGTACAGAGAACCACGGGATAGAAAAGGGAATATTGAGAAAGAGAAAAAAAGCATGGGATATAAGAGAGCTTGCAGCGATAGTATATGTAGTTGTAGGTTAAGACGCGGCCTATACGATTGCGAGTTCGCGAATCCGAGAAAGTGATATTTGAGATAAGCGAAAAAATTGCCGATCGCTTTGAAAATTGAATACAACTGTCACGGCGAATAAGCGTCAAAGGAAACATTATTTCTCAAATCAATCAGTACAATTGAACGACTGTTCGCAAGCGCCATAGCAGCGAAGACGAGTGTTGTGCATCGCAATCATCATCAAGATCCATCTCGACATTGCGCAGCATCAAAGTAGCGCGCGAGGGAGATAAAAAAAAGCCGTTGGGCAAAGAATAAAGGTCGCGCTTATATATCTCCTTTCTCTCCCGACGACCCCTTTTTTTCATTTTGGAAACGCGTGTACAGAGAAACACATATAGCTGTTGGTACTACTAGCCTGAGGGCGGTAGTCTCGGTGACGAGTATCTCGATGGTGAGGCTGCTGCCGGTCGAGATGAAACTTTCGCCCAGCGAGCAGGGACGGCTGCTGTTTTGAAAGATCACGTGGTCACAGCTGCGCGGTACCTTGTCCCTGCAGTAACGTGCCATTAGAGTCGTATTACTTGCTAGTCGGCTGCTCGCTATGGGCTTCGTTCCTCCAGTCGCTGTAACGCTACTGCCATCTTCTTTTTCGCTGTAAATATTTATACTTATTTAGTTTACATTTGCCATTGGTGAAAGCTACGGTCAGATCATTACAGGTATAGACGTTGCGAAATTTACTGTTCACTTGGTTAATTTTACAAATAAATTACACGAAAAGACATTTCGCTCGTTATTATGTATTCAGCTTGTCAATAGTGATTATTTGCATTGTTATATTCTCCAGAGGAATTTATAAATTGTCAGTAGTAATTAGTTAAAATTTGTCCAATGCAAAGTGCCTACTTAGCATTTAAATATTTAAATGAGTGCATAATTCAAAACATCCTCGCGTCACTTGCTTAGCACATCGTAGTTAATTAATTTTGAGCTCAATTCTTACCAGGACACATCGTTACAGTCAGCAGCAGAAAGTGGCATCATCTCACCGTCCCAAATCTTAAGACTCGTTGAGCAATCATCATCGGTGACAGCGGAATTGCTGCCAACATGGAACTTAAGAACTGAGAGCCATACTCGAAATTGCGGTTGAATAGTAGGTGGTTGCTGTCTTCCCCACTTAATGTCAGCCTTGGTTGGGAATTTGGGTATGGGTCTTGGCGACATTGGACTCGGGTAATCATTACTTTCTCCGCGTAAGTGATATAGGCAAGTAGTGTTGCGGGGCAGTGAGTGTCGGGGCGAGGTGAGCATACCACCAGTGTCCCCGCGTAACCAGAACTCGCAACGTTTACCTTTCGAGTACATCGTCGAGTTGAAGTCCACAAATTTCACCTGGTAACAGACGTGTAGATTAGTTAGCCAGCGCGTACAGTTCTACAAGTTGTAATGTCGTTTGCATTTTTTGTGTCGGTCTGACACAATTTGACTCGTTCTACTTGATTCAGCGTGAGCGAATGGTTACGAACATAAACGTACCAGCAGGATCGATCTTTAAAAATTATAATGAATACGAGATGAATGTATGTCCCAGTCGATCTACCTGTACGTCCAGTTGGAAGCCATGAAGCGAATGCGGCGGCGATGGATGGAGGAAGGTCCCGTAGGGCGAAGTCGTGAACACGACAAGGAGATCTTTACCGCTACTGATGACCTCGGGCAGTGGCTCACCACCACCGCAGAATTTTAGTATAACTGGCTCCATCGTGTTATAACCATCATAGATTGTTACGTGATCCTATTTGAACACAATTCGATAATTGAATTTCACCTATAGGTAGGCGCACGACGATTATCGTCCACACTACGCGAGTTATATTCAGTTTCATTTTGGTAAATGCGTGTAACCAGTTGCGTTATTTCAATTTTAGCGTAGTTTCTCTGTTTTATGATCGACAGTAGCCTGATTCTCAAGCATATTTGTTTTTTTTCTACCAACACACGATATGGAATTCTTTTTACATTGAAATTCCGATAATAAAAGATGAAGTAGAAACATTCATGTTTTATATTTTGTGCAGGCCGAGAGCTCAGCTAGAGAGTGAGTACGATCTCTGTTAAGATATAGTTTCGTACTCGATTTGTCCAATATTGTTGTTGTTGGCCGTGAGAGAGCAATAAAAAGTAGATCATAAAACTTTAACTTGGGCTAGCAGGCTTTATTATAAAAGTTTAATACCTTGACTATATCACAGTCATCCCAGAGTCGGAGTTCTCGAGGCGGTGGTTCACCCTGAGTTGGCGCTTTCGATCGTACTGCAATCAACTGGCCCCGTGGCTGCCTTACGGATATTAAAGGATGCTTTCCCTCGGGCACTTCGTGTTGGCGAATCTATCGAGAGAAAAAATTCAAGAAATAAAATTTGTTTTTATTATATTAAACATTTTCGCCTCGTAGTATCGATGTGAAATTTGTGGAATTCATAGCTTAAAGAGCCATATGCACATAGTAGGTCGTCATCGAAGAAATGATATTCCGATAAACTGTAAACTCATTGAATTTTAACGAGACGATATTTTCGGGCCTGTAAGGTAGACGATAAGCCAGATGGCGAAAAATGGCAGAGCTCACACAGCAATTATTTGATCGGTTTGAATTGTCCATCATTCACACCAATAGCTGCGATGTGACATCGAAAATAGAGAAATTACGTGGCTATAGAGGACGACATAAGTTTGCTCGCGAGCAGAATAGGTAAGGCAATGACGAAATTTCTTCATTCAATTAAGAATGCTCGAGCTGGGTAAGGCACATACAGCGGCAATTGAAGCCCACCGCTTTTGGCCGTCGGCAAGATATCGGTTCGCAAACAATGCATATCCAGCTCCCTCCATGGAATATCCGGGACGCGCGCGCGAAACGAGCGCGAAGTTTCTGCATCGAGGATGGGGAGCTCGCCAGGATATTCCGATAACGCCCATTGTGGCGCTCACCGCTAAAAGCAATTTTATTCGATGAAAGCCGATTTGCTAGTCCGCGCGCGGGCCTTACGAACGACCCTTCGCGCAAAGTATAGCTTTTTACCGATCAATATATCTACATTCGTTGCTTTTACTCACACTAAGACTTTTGTTTACGTGTGTGCTGAGTCGTAGCGCCACTACGCTCTTGTTTGTTACTTCTCGCAGCCAAGAAGGAGAAAGCGTTTGCATTGATCGTGTATACCGACAACATTGCACTGCCTGAATAATGCAATGAATCAAGCAAAATTCCGCCAACGAATGGCAAGCTTAATCACCTTCTTTCGCGATGTAATTTTTACAAGAGTTTCTTTGTTGGAGTTAATAGAGATCGAAAATTGGCTGCAGTAAGGAAAGGTTATTCTTTTTAATGCGCCGGATCTCAACAACATTTGTCCTCTGTGTAATTTTTATTTCAGAAATTAGCAATAAAAAGCTTCCAACGTTTACGGAAAAATAACGATGTGAACTATTTCGTTAAAAAAATGCACGTTATACATAAATTAAGCCGTCACTCTCCACAACTTACTGCATAGTAACACGTGAGGTTTCGCGGATACAATCCAGGAAAGTTGGGTGACTGAAGCCGACAGCGTTTCCGATCGCAATCGCTAAAAGTCTTGGAGCAATAGGTGCCTGATATTAACTCGCCCAAGTATTGCTCAGGGCTTGGTTTCCTTGCAGTTGGCTCCAGCACTACCATTGGCGTTTCTTTTGTCACTGGCGCAGCCATCGTTTTACTCGGCTTTGTCGGTTTCACTGTTGTCAATCTTGTCATGGTGTTTGCAGACTTACTGGATGATCGCTGTGTTGGCGTTAGATCCGTCGGTGTAATACTCGAAACAAACGATAGCAGTGCCTGCTGGGTTATGCCTGCGAAAGATTACAACATTTGATTTTACGTACAACATCAAACCAATTTTTCAAGAAACCAAGTATACTTACCAACGAAAGGATTGTTGTATCTTACGACAGCCTCGGAACGTCTAATCATCTTGTAGGCCATACGAAAGTCGAAATTGAATCCAGTCTGATCTTTGCTGAGCCTAAATAAGCGTAGCGTTATCGAGACTGAAGATGTCTCGCTGTAGTAGATCGCTGGACCACGGGATGATCCGCACCAGTGGCCCCCAACGTCCGGCCGATTTGACTCCGATATCTGTAGTGAGCCATCCGGGCATCCCGCTGCCGTGAACGATACGAATTTCCCGAGTGTAAAGCTGTCAAACGTCAGCTGCAACAATACGTTCAGTTGTATGTTTATATTGGTGGTCCAACCTGACTTAGTTTATTTGATATTTGTTTATTGCTTTGATATATCAACTAGACTTGCAATTATTTCGTAATTGTAAATGTTACTTTCATTCGAAAACTGTAATCAAAATATCTGAACAAATTAAGTTATTTAAGCAAAATACTGAAATCAAAATAGGGTCAAACGTAAGCGGGCATATGCGTCGCCGTACGTTGGAATTCTGAAATAGAGCTCAAAGACAGGAAAAACGAAATTGAGCAAAAGTTAAATGGTATTAAAAAGGCAGGCACAAGTTCGCTTTTGCGCGGCTCTTTTTCGATAACGTGTCGCTTTAACTTTACGCGTGGTACGTTCTCTCTCTCTCTCTCTCTCTCTCTCTCTCAACACACGTACATACGCCAAAAAGGTAATGTATACTCGAAAATGGAGAATCGTGAGAGTGCTCAACGATGCGGGCTGTTTCACAGCTGAAAATGTGTGGGGAAAAAGAGAGAAAATGGATGGTAAGTCTCAAGCCGCTTTAAGTGTGAATTTTTAGAGTTCAAAACTCTTCTTCCTTTTTTCAGAACGAGAAAACTGCTTTTTATGAAGCACAGAAAAATATCTATTTTTGATTTTTATTTAATATTTGATTGTATGATGGTGTTTTAAAATATATATTACTCCTTCCAAGTTGGCGTTACAGGATGAGCTGGATGAAAACTACAGTTTCGAAACTGTAAAACACACTTTTGTACAGCACGGGCTCTCCGAGTTAACCATTTGCCAAAGTTATAACTTGCATTATTATTGCAGTATGTCAAGTTTAAATTTTGTAAATCGTTAATACTAGATACCACGAGATAATAATTTAAAAATCGCGTAATAATTAAAAAAATTAATTGTGATATAATTAACGAACAAACTTATTAATAGCATAACTCTATAAGCTCCGCTTCAAGTCAATTCAGCGCATCTTTGCTACTGTTCAAATTACACATATGAGTACTAGTAACACTTCAACTAGCTCAAACTTTTTACTTTAATAATTAATAAAAGGTTTGCTTTTATGATGTAGCAGTGTGATATGTTTCAAACTTCAAAATTATCCTCACGCGCTGCAATGCTTTTTTCTTCTCATATTGTTTTCAAACTATGAGGCGATATTTTATACAAATTCTGCTATTATTTTCTTCAAATAATTATTTCTTTGCGAAGAATATTGAATTATAATTGCGAAAGAGAGAAGTACTGTTCTCTAAAGTTAATTTTTTGATAAAACATATGTCATTTAATGATTCACAACAATTTAAAATCTTTAAATGTATCCTTTTCTTAAAAATTCAAAGTAAGGAATATTCTATATTATTCTGAAATGAAAGATGGTGTACTCAAACGCTTAAATGTTCCCAATTTAAGATAATTGTACATACCTGAACGATATCACCGAGATCGTCACCGGGTGCGCTGAAAGTAAGCTTGCAGTTGTAAGGCACCTTGTCTTCTTTTGGACGATGAAGCTCCAATTCATAAGTCTTGCCCACATCCCCATAGTATGTTCTGTTGCATGCTGTAACATGAAAATATACAAAGATTACTTTTATTTAAATTTTATTGATAATCCTTTATTTTTGTGGTTTATACTAGGGTGGTCCCATAAGTAACCGGCCTGACCTAGAGATGGTAGTAGTTGCTCGAAAAATATTACTGTACTAGAAAGTACACAATTTATAAAGCATATGTTTCGAGTTTGAAGACGCCACGTTTTTTAGTATTTGTTTGGCAGCCATTAATAGTGAACGTATTTAGAAAATTTTTTAGAACCATTTTTAAAAAATAAGTGAAAATGGAGAAAATTGGTCATCGTCATGTGGTACGATACTTTTATTTGAAAGGCCTCAGCTCAACTAGTATAAAAATTGAACTAGATTCTACTCTGGGTGAGTCTACTCCTTCGTTTATAACAGTAAAATACTGAGTAGCAGAGTTAAAATGAGGCCGTACGAGCTGCCAAGACAAGCATTGTAGTGGCCGACTAAATGAAGTGACGATTCCAGAAATGGTAAAGAAAATCCAGAACTGAAATAAATATTATTTTTTTTCTAAAATTTTGGGGTTTTCTTTGTTGGGTGAGGTACTTATGAAACCACTCTCGTGTGCTTTCTACCGCGCAATTTTCGCTTATTACATTCCATTTCTATCTCTCTCTCTCTCTCTCTCTCTCTCTTACTCTGCATTTTTTATAATTTACGCCACTTCCGTCACATCTCTTATTGCAAGACTGTGCAATCACATTGGGTGATAATTCTTTTCAGAATACGCCGGCAGAATATCTTGATAATCTTTCCTGCATTAGTTTCTGTTATGTTGTTACTGAGAATTGTCATTAAAAATCGTATTTTTCTTTTAATCTTTTAACGTAACATTATGGAGATCACGCGGTTATTTTTTTCAACAATTTTAATATGATAAAATATTAGTTTAGAAGAAATTTGATTGAAGATGCCCGAAATTTTAATTATATGTTGTCTGCGTTATATCTGAATTTATTTTTTGTTCAACAGGTCGTGACGAATTAAACTAAAAAACGTCTAAATTCAATCGTAAAAATACAGGCTATATTCAATCTTATAATTTTCCTTTCTCTTTGGCATCCATCAACTATCGGTTTACTTTGAATGTGTACAGTAGTATGGTTCTGACGACTTGCAATCATGTAATTTCACGATATAAGAAAAGGGTGAGGATAAATCGAATTAAAAACATCGACACGCAGAACGAAAGTCGCGAAACTCGTGTTACCATGTCGGTTGGGCTTCACAGCCCCCTGAATCACCTAGAGGCTTAAAGCAGTTCTATTGTAGGGTTTCATGGCCAATTCATCAAAAAACTCCCTGTCTCTCTAGGCTTATGTACGATTTCTTGAATTCTAGGAATACCGAAGAGATAAGAAGGAACTAACTTGAGTGTGAACGATTATGCATTTTCAGTAATATGTGTGTAAAGAGAAATGAAAAGGATATTCGTATGTCTTATTGAAATTTAATTCTTTATCAAAAATTGAATTAATAGATATAGTTATAAAAGGAAAGATAATGTCTATTGTTACTTCAATTAAAACGTATATCGATTGCCTTCTAAGGTAAGAAAGTCATGTGAGGATATTTTTTGTTGAATTCATCACGCACTCGCGGCGTCATGGAAACGAAATGTGAATGAGTAAGCCGAAAAAACCTGAGGTTCTTGGGCTACTGGAGACTCTAGAGAATAAGATTCCTTGTTAGATAACCCTGCTGATAGACATTCGAACCTTTACCCTACGAGTTTCGAGCTGTGTGTATTGATAAGATTCTCGCATTCTGTATAGACAAAATTGTATTCTTGACGTAATGCTACTAAGAATATACAGAAATGCAATTCTTGACAAAATAATATTACGCGAGATTTACTTGAAATCATATTTTATTATTTTTGGTGTGCAAATGGCATTTCATACTTAACAAAGTGCAATAAAATTATAATAAACTAAATGAATTATAATAAAATTATAATCACTTATAACTAAATTGTGAATCAAATTGCGTGATGAATTTATCTTTATTTAAATATTTATTAAATTGCTACTGCTTTACATGAAATCATTGTACTAATTTTATTGATAAAAATAATAAAGTAAAGAAAATAACCATAGTGGCATGAGCAAAAACAAATACACTTTGGTAAAGAAAAAGCACGTTGCTTTTGATGTTGGCTACTTTGTATATCAGTTATAAACATTTTTTGCTCTTCAAAAGCCTCGTGATACATTCTTTTCTTTTTTGTACATACACGTGTACACGCGTCACGCATGACAATTATTTTTCTTCTTTTGTTTTTTGTTCTGTCTACGCGCCACTGTAGCACAGTGTGGAAAGTATTATGTGGCTTTACGTTTACAAGCTTTTATTTTTCACAAAAAAGTGTCATTGCATGATTAATTCTCTTTGATCGGACTCCCTTTCAGCTCAGTATTTCTTGCCAAGATGAACCTTCATGAGAATTTACTTGAAAAGGTTTTCACGTCATTTATAGTGTTGTTTAGCGTTATGCAATATCATTAAATCTAAGATAAAGGCATGATTGAAATATACTGAAAATTATTTGCAATGATAGTATTTCATTTAAAAAGCTTGCATCAAGTTTCATTCATAGCTGAAGTTGACTTCAAGAGCAAAGAGATTAGCAGCTTGCGGAGTACGCAGCGTTATCTTTATCTCCACTTTTGAAACTTCTGTTTCTTCTATCTGGCTCGGATCGAGCTCGTAAAGCTCGACATTTTCCCGTAGACTTTTCGCAAGCCGAACGGAAGGAGAAGCTCTCTTTCTTTACCGAGAAATCAAGAAGTTATTTTCTCAGTCTGTCTCTGCTCCCTTTCCTTTTTCTATTTTTCATTTCTATACTTAACTACTTTTTTCTTTTGCACATTTTCTATTTTGATTGATTTAATGCAATTCCATTTTGGCTTAGTCGAGAATTTTCAGTTACTTGAATTTTGAGTGCTCGAATGTTATAAGTGTAATCAAGTAAAGGCGAGGCGAAAAGGTTCTCGGCTCAATAATATGGAATAAAAGTCACGAAATAAATAGATAATTGATCAATCAACCATGAATTTATAAAACTATTTTACTGCGATTAAATCTTGGTTCTGTTTTCACAGATTAAGTTCAATTTAGTTCTTTATCAATTAATTTGGGTGGTGTAAATAAGCTTCAAAGAAAGTAAGCGAACGTTGCTTCGGCTTTAGAGAACGAGTTAGCTTTGAGACAATTTTCGGATAAAAATTTTTGAATAAAAATTGACTCGAAAAGTAAATGGTTTCACGCTATAAAATAGGCTTTTCCGTGGAAACGTGCCATCATCAGCAGCCAAGGTTTGTGCTCATCAAATGTTCTATACATATATATACATTTCATTTCCGCGGCTTTTAACGCTGAACCTCGAACTCGGCTTTTTTTCTTCTGCCTCTTCCAGCTCAGGAATATCTCGAGCTCGTGCGCACAAGAAATTTCCTTTTCACCTGCTGTGGCGTGTGCTTGCAGTTCAGTTCCGCCCCATTCGAGAGCATACATTATATCCAGACGCTCGGCTATCAGCGTAGCCGGGCGGGGAGTGCGAAGAATGAGAAAATCCGAACGAGGAAAACTCCTTCGGGCGGCAAATCAGACGAAAAGACAAAGAGGCGAAAAATAAAAAAGAGAAGGCTCGCGCGGACGAAGCCAAAGTCTGCGTCTGTCGCGTAAAGTTTGTTCGCTCGTCACTCGTGGAACGTTTTTATCCGCAGATGTATTTATAAGGAGCTCGTCAGGACTTTTGTGAAAATCTTGCTTGCGTCTAGCGTGGTACCTTTAATTATAAGCCAGAAACTTGATCGCTTTCCGAGTGAAAAACTTTTATATGGCTATTAAATTTGAATCTCTCCACTCGGTCCCTCGGATAATAACTCCAAAGCTCCATACCCCTCGAGTCTGCTTCAGGTGACCTTTAATAAATCTTTGACTAGCTATTTGTACGATATACTTGAATGAAAACGAAAACACGTAAAATGGTCTCGCCTGCAATTTCATAAACCCTAGTCGCGGTTGTGTAAAACGGAATCCTTCGTCGCGGTAAATCTCCGGCGAATTTTCGAAAGCCCTCGCATAACCGAGTAATTTTGTAAAGCTCGGCCGGTGAAAATTATATTTTGGCCGGTGTGTAACTATACGCACGCGAGCCCTTTGTGGCTGGGCAAAGCTGCATTTGCATTAACGCGATAACGTCGCGTAGACCCACGAAAATCCGTCGAGTGGGGATGTCGTCGTCGAAGCCACGTCGTCGCCGTCGTCGTCGGCAAGCTGCTTAACTGCAGCGTTTACTTTGTCTCTCGCACACGCGGGAGAGTGGGATAGCGCGAGCTTACACAAGTCGTTCGTAAATAGAGATGAGGGATGCGACGGCGTGATCGAGTGCGCCGAAGCTCGAAATCGCCGCGATATTGGGATTTCCGCGAGTGCTCGCTCGCTCGCTCTTATCACCTGCGCGCGTGTTCGTACAAGCGTGCGCGCGATCTCCTCCCGGCAAATATTTTCGTTCAACGACGGCCTATAGCAGCCCGCGCCCAGAGACATTTGCTTTGGATTCCTGCAGTCGTGCTTTTGTCGTTCAATTTATTCTCCGAAATAAATGCAAAAGTAATGTCATTGACGACCTTGCTTCTGATTCGACTCTGTGCTCAGTGATACGGTTCAAATAATCAGAGAGATGCAAGAAAAAAATCAATCTAACGCGATATCATTCCTACAGTTGCGGCAACGGAAAAGTAAATTACTTTCGCTTCAAGAAACTTTCAAAGGTAATTAATCACAGCTTTCTATTTTAACGACGCCATTTTCGTAGTCTTCGTATATTTATACTATATACTCGTATTATTTGTTAGTAGCTCTAGCCAAGTGGATGGTTTATAACAGAATACATTTCCATGAATTTTCAATCGTAATGTTAAAAGCGTCCATTTACTGATATGCTAATTCACACAAACATGCAATATTTATTCGCATGAATTTTCATTTGGACTGTCAGTAGCGTTAATTCTATAGCATTGATTGGGAAACGTCAAAAAGTCAATCCTTCCATAAATTTTGCCGATAGCAAAGCAATCATCGGAAAACGCACCTTCAGCGAATTCCGACAGAGCAGAAAACGCATCGCACATCTGGAACGCAGCCGGGCAGTATTAGCAGTAGCAGCAGCAGCACCAGCAGCAAATGGATTCTCAATAAACAACGAATGCAGTTTTCTTTCAATTTTCTGCTGGCAGTCGCAGCAGCTAGCGAACAGAATCCCGAATGACGTGAGCGCTCGCGCGCGAATAACTCAATAGCCAGATGCGCCATTACTGGGCAGGCTTAGCCAGGTCAGAGGCTCGATGGCTCACTGAAATAACGACCTCGAGAAGAATTGGGGCGCGAGATCTACCAGATCGGCCTGTTTTCGAAAGCCTATGGCACACGCGTAGGCCGATTGCTGGATTTCTGCGTGCACGCACCCATGTGAGCGTATTTATAGAACACCTTTTAGGACATTTCATTTGGGATAGCGAGCAGGATTCGGCTGCTCAATGGAAAGGGCTAGAGAAAGAGCTCGTTTTAATTCCATTAAGCCCACGTCCGAAAGAGATGCGTGAGTTTGCCATGAAAGGGAAGAAGAGATTGCACTTCACTTTTAGAGCCACCAGACTATTAAGAGAATAATTTCGCGGTTTTTTACGTGACAAGACTTAAGCTTCAAGTATTAATTAGCATTTTTACTTTTAAAAACTCGCATCTTACAAGTCGTATTCGTCAAAAGTTTTATCAAGTTATTCGTTTTCGCTGTGGTCTTATATCTTTTGCCTATCAAGTTTTCTGCGATTTCATAAGCCAAGTACTTTATAACATAGTTTCCAACTGTGTTTCCAACTCTATCTAATATTCCATTTTCTATTATATGCTACGATGAACAATATTATAAGATGAAGTGGAGAACGATGGAAGAAAACAAGTTTAGTACGCGCCACTTCTTACATGTGTCGATTTAGCAAAAAGTATAGCAAAAGCAAGCGTGTGTGTATGTGTGTGTGTGTATTAATGGATACACGCGAAAAGGTGTAAGTGAATTTCAAATATATCGGTACAGGCGTACGTTCATAGCAGCTACTATATATCTGAAGTTGAAACCACTACTACAGGCCTGTGACCCAAATGCTGATCTTTTGGACGCTCGCCAATTCTCTATGTCCGTCCGTAACTCGCTCTTCTCGTTCTTCTCCTACCTTCAAAATATACACATATACATGCATTAGTTCTCGTACATCCAAAACCAACCTATATTTTTTTATAAACACGCACACACCGACGTTCGTTTTTTAAAATCTTTTCGCGACCAACTCTTTTAATCTAATCTAAAAGAAAGACACTCGTTCATGTACGCGCGTATACCATGTATTTTTGCCGTCAACTGGCACAGGCAATACATTCGCGAATGATATATCAATATCGAGAGCCGATGAATCAAGCGGTCAGCTGTCTGTCTCTCTTTCTCTCTCTTGCGCTTGCACGCGTACGCGATTGTGCAAACCTCGGATTTGTCCGTACAGTCTGTCGCTCGCCCTCGTTCTCTTATCTCGTTCGCAGCTATTGTTATGTGTATGTTTTTTTCGTTCGTCAACGACCATTACGAAAAATATTCCTTTTTGTGCGCTTCAACGTTTGTTTATCTTCTTTCTTCGTTTCGTATCGTTATTCGATTCCAGTGATGCTGCTTTTGATACTTCGTTTCGTTGCTTTCTGGTTACGTGTTCTCATTAGGCAAACTTTCCTTTAATTTTCTTCTTTGCCATTTTTTGATATTATATCGAGTAGAACTTGTCGTTATACAGGTGTTCTATTGAAAATCAAAATTTTGGCGTTTTTTATTTTTTCGTTCATTTTACTAATATAAATTTAATATCAACTTCATATCATTTTAGTATAATATATTAAAGAATTGGCCTATTTACATGAAACGAATAATGCTCTAATGTTTTTGGTCACTGTTAATTTTATTATTTAAAGCAATGAAAAATTGGTGGCAGCTTTTCTTTGAATTAAAAATTGAAGCTATGACTTTTGTTTCGATAATTCAACGAGACTTAAAATATCTCTCAAACTCATATCTAAGAAAAGCTTTAGAAATTTTTTTAAGCTTTAACAAGGTTTAAGTTCGCAACTCTCTTAAATAAGATTAACATCCTCGAAAAAGCGAAAGGCAAATAAAGTTTTAATTTTTTCAGTATGTCGACAACTAGCCCCATATACCTATACATTTCTAAGTTTATGTGCTCGCGAAGAGACTATGTGCAATACCAGAGTTGAAATATCTACCCGAGCGGTATACGTACTTCTGGCAGGCAGCGCCAGTGTTAGACCTCTGCACAGAAACGAGCGTAAAAACAGTGGAAATACTCGACGTTAAACGCGCCAAACGCGTTACGTCAAACGCGCCTGTTATCTTTATGCGCGCGACCCTGCAGCTGCTGTGTTTTATGAAAGCTTATGCAAAGGATTTTTCATTTTTCCTCACTTGGTCGTATTTTATAAAATTTCAGATATTTTAAGAATATTACATATGTCTATGAAAGCTAGACTTCTTTAATTTTGAATAGAATTACTTGAACGTGATGTAGTTTGAAGGGTAACCGTAGCCTTTGCACGTGGAAACGTGGTAGCTGTGGAGCAAAAAAGGATTAAATCTACTTTGAGTTGTTGGCTATTCTTTGGGTTTCTCGTTTTAATTATAAGCCAGTAACAGAACCTATTGTTATTTATCTTTAGTTTCGTTTCGGGAGTATGTTATTTGAATAATAAAATTATTATTAATCAGTTACATCAAATTTATTATACAAATAATTTGATGTAACAAAATGAAATTCTAAAACACACTATAACTAAATTCTACTACTCCAAAAAATATTCGGTAAATAAAATTGTATTATCTATTAAACCTTGCGTCAATCACTGTCAATTTAAAAAAAAATGCAGAGAATATCAAACTGTCGATGAGCAATGAAACTATAACAGAAACAATAAAACGAAGCATTTATAGAAACCATACAGAGAAAAAAATATCCACTGTTTGTATGAAAGAATGAAATTTAGTTAAGCCGCTGGCGCAAAATGACTAGAGAGCAAGACGCGAACGAAACTGTAACTTCGAAGTGCTGAAGTTGATATAGAGTAGTGGCTGGCCACATATGACGAATTCATTTGATATCACATTTATAACTTCGAGTTTTTAATTCCGAAGATCAGTGAGTCAGAAGGCGCAACGCGACTGACGAGTTTTTGATGAGCGCGCGAGCGCATACACGTTGTTATATACGTATATAGCTGCAGCAAGCCTGTACGTGCGATTAATTGTTTTTCGCGCTTCAAACCTCGATATCTGCGAATCTAGCTTACACTCACACAGCCGCAAGCGTATATCAATCTCGTATCGTCCGCATCCATAACTCGCCGTCGCCTCTGTCTCTCCCTCGTCTGCCATATTCCAATGAATTATACTCACGCGAATGTTATACCCACCCCGTCAATGGAACGACATAGATGTAACGCGTATCGATGTGTTTGCGATGAAGTGTGAGAACGTATTACTCGAGGCTATGCATAGTTTAAAGCAACATCAACATAGCCAAATACGACAATCTGATCAGCTTGCTTTTACACAGTTATTGCCGTGTTGTTGACCCTTCCTCGACATTACGCGTTTTCTCTGAATTTGATGTATGGCCAATTGAACCTCTCGCAAGCTTAACTTATCGTACTCGATCGACATCTAATTTGGTTAATTGAAAGCTAAAGCTTTGATTTTTGCCATCAATATATTGAGTGTCTTGAACTATGATGAGAAAATGATGATCGATCATATTGAAAATACAAGTTGATATTTTTGTGATTATTTATATTTCTATATCACACTATACGTTGAAAGGTCATTACTAGTTTTGCCGGAAGTGGTCTTACTGTTTGTTAGAAAGCGGTGGATAACCATCTATACCGAAAATTCAACGAATAATGATACTATACTTGATTATTATAAAGATCATGAAATTCTTGTGTCAATCTTCTATTTAGATTATTATTTTCTAGTGCATTCCCATGCCCCAAATGTTAGGATTTTATGTAAAAATTAGATTAAAATGTATGCTACCAAATTTAATACACCGTAAAGTTTTTTATATTACATATTCATTTATCACTAATTAAAATTTTAATAAACTACATGGTACAATGTACGTTGCAAAATTTGATACAATATAAATTTACAATAAATCAATATTCAAAACAAAAAAAGTAACGAATAAGTGATTGTCTTATTAACAACCTTATAACCGTGATGTTTGGGTCAAAAAGAATTCTATTCATGAGAACATCGTGACTACGTTCATTCGTTTATCCCTAGCCTATATATCCAGAAAAGCAATAAACGAAAAGGAAAAAAGAAGGAAAGAAAACAACAATTTTCTACTCACGCGAACACTGCTGCTGTTCATCGCTTTTATCACCGCAATCGTCGATGAGATTGCAGACTTTATTCAGGCCGATGCAGCGTCCGTTGTTACACTGGAACTCACTCTGTCGACAAGACAGTACCACCGCCACCGTCAGCGCGAGGACACTGCTATAAAGAATCCAACATGAACCTGCAATTAGACCAAGGGCAAAAAAAACTTTGGTTAGTATCGCTGACTCAACTCTGCCAAATGAAATTGGGTTTACGATGATCAGGTTGTTTCGTCTATTTGATATTATTATTTGTTTTATTTAAATGAGAGTGTCATTCAAAATATTTATACAAATTGGATGGACGAAAGTAAAAGAACCAATTTCGGTTACGACGACACATATTTCAACACGGTAAGTGCACGATAATCCTATGAGTTTCATCTAGCTGTTACGATCATAAAAAGAAGCAATATGTGTAAAAGGGTATTCCCAGATGCTTCGCAGAGTAATTGTGATACTTGAGTATAAATTATTACTTACAATTAGTATGATTATATAAGAGGAAATAATTAAATAGGTATTACAGTAGGGCTGAAACTTGATTGTCTACATTCAAGACAATTAATATATCTGTTAAAATAAAAAGTCTTCTCGTAAAAGTCCTTCCATAAAAAGCCGTGATATTGTTTCCAAGTTATAAAAAATTAATTAAATCGGGTATGCAATCAAGACGTTTCTTTATCTTTGCGCGTAGTATATGGCCCCTGCCATGTCAGTTTCGACGATGGCAATTAATCAAACAACTAGCTAGAGAGTGTCTCTGTCTTTCTCGCTCGCGCAGTAATTCATTGTCGCATTAATCAAAGTCCGCGTCCGCATTGCCGTTGGCCCTCTAAGTTGAAAGTTGAACTTTATTAAAAGCTGCAAGCTCGACAAATAAAATCGAGAGCTCTGTCGAGGACAAAACTCGCGTAGGATTCATTATATTTGCCGGCCTGCGAGAGCAGCGCAATTTCGTGCCAAGTTGTATTTTACCCTGCGCGCGTCTCTCTGGCTTGCCGAAATTTTCATTAAGCCCCCTCTCGGCTGCTGCCCGAAGCTGATATTACATAGCTGAGACAACGTAGGTACTCTAGGAAGTGTTGTAAGTGCAACGACACATAGGCAAGGCAAATGTAGCGTTGATGGGCAGTACGCTCCTCGACAACTAAACCAATGAACACCGTATTGTACGTCTACCCTTGGCAGGCTACTTTTCAAGTCTAACTAAATGAAGAGCTTAATATTTTGCAGGCTGAGGAATAGACGCGTCGAAGAAAGAAAGCGAGTCTGCCTATCGGCAATCCAATTAGCTTGCTAACCGCGCGCATAAAGCGTACGCGGCGCTTACTTAGGCAAGCGGCGAGCTGGGCATGGCTTATGCATATGAAATATCAGAGCTTGGCGCCGAGAGCTTTAAATTTTATGCAGAATTTAATCAAGAGCCTCGCTTGCGATGAGTACGCGAGCCGTGATAACGCCTAGTTCACCTTACTTTTCCTTGACAGACGTACGGAGAACTGACTGAGACAGATATGCTAAAAAAACACACTCACACAGCTACTGCTTGCATACTTACTTCGCTAAAAGACCGACGGAACGTCGGGCTCGCGAGAAGCTGTAAAATTTTCGACTGAAGAATAACTTAAGCACCAAATTCCCTCTTGCCGCGAGGCCTCAAAAGAAATTTCACGTGGAAGAGAAATTAATGGGGATTTCCTCCTTTGCTTCTTTCCTTCTGTACGTGTACTCGGCTTTTTTCCTTCTCCCTTTCGTCTTCCCCTCTGTCCCACGTTGATCTTCTTGCCGCAAATTTTCATTCTCGCTCTTTCTAATTAATGTTGAAATTTAGCTTTGGATATCCGGTGAATAATGAAACAAATCAATTCTGTACAGCGTTGAGGAAAGCTTTATAAATGACTCGCTGACATCGAATTTGGTACCTTGCGATGTGTACTTTCCAAAGTTCGACGTACGCTTTGCTCGGTAAATATTCATTCGTACAATAGCAATTTGTTAGACCTGTGCAGCGGTAAAATATTTGCACGATTAACATTCAAATGATTTTAGCAAGTTCTGTGCTCGTTTGCAAACGAAAATTTCTAAAGATCGACACTGCCAATTGGTGCGTAACAAGAATCAATCATCAACCGTTTGTCAATAAATACACAATGGAATATATTGCAGTAAAATCGAATGGTACGGCGAGTAACAATCGAACCGGTAGTCGGAGGAACGTTACAGAGGAAGGATAGGCACATGACTCGACACCACGATTCGCTTCGCAGTCAATGAACAGAGAGTATGGATTATACCGCGTTTGACAGAATATACGGAAATCGAAAATCGTTTCACGTGGTTTGACGATTGATTACACGTGGATTTTTAAAAGAACGTAGTAAGCAATGTGCGTGTTTGAGAGTTCACTCGATACTTCAAGTAAAAGCACGTCTTAGTCCATAAAATGAAAGAAAACAGCTAAGCTTTACCGCGTGTTGTGGACAGCAATTTTTACAAGTGTCGTGGTGCCGTGTAATAAAATAGCTTGTAGAACAGGTGCACTTTAATGTTGGTTCAGCACGTAAAATGGTAATTGTATCGTGCTGGCTTCCACTGCAAAGACTCAAAACTTAAGTGTCGACTTTTCATTCCTTTTCTCGTTCTCTCGTATTATCGTTCTCATGCTTAGCCTACTATACTACTGCCAAGCTCTCACTGCCTCTCTCTCTCTCTTTCGCTCTCTGCGTTACGGCGTGAGCGGGAAATAAAGGCCAAAACGCGCGAAAGGAGAAAGCGAATGCGACAGAAAAAAGAAAGGGCTAATGAGACTGGCAAATAAACTTGCCACTGCCTGCTAACCAAGAAAGCCACTAAATAACAGCTCTTAAACTTTACGCATCTGCTTTATTTGATATAATTATGCCTCTTAGAATAAACGAGCCTCACCCTTTTCCAGTTTCCCTAGGAAAACTGCTTTACTATGTCTACATACTGCTTCTTTTACTGTTTCTAATTAACGTCCAAGCGATGTAAGAAGGATTCAAATTAGAACATCCGTTAAATATATTTCACTGCAACTTAATATTTTTTTAATTTACATTACTGTCAAGTGATAGTTCATTATGAAAATATACGATATTATAAAAATATTAATTTCTCCAATTAGTATAGCAACAGTTAATTGTTCAGAATCAAAAATAAATATCATTATCAAATCTGTTGAATCAATAGATCAAATATTTACATAGAAATTCATGTATCAAATACATGTCAAACGTTTCTCTATTCGCATTATAATTCGTGTTGATGATGTGACCTTAGGTAGAATATTGTTGCAAATAATATAATAGATATAATGAAGAGTTAATTATACACTACAGTCAGTCAGATTTATAAAGCAAGTTATGTGTCTAGACTAGTTAATTCGTGTATTCATTTGCGCAAAGCTTAAGAGAGCTTAATCAAGAGAAAAAACGTTCGTGAACATTCCTGTGAAACATAAACATCTTTAACGAATTAGTGTAAAAGGTTTTAAGTTGCCGATACTCGCGTAAAGAAAAATTGTACAAAGGAGATGAAAGTTTTTTTCACAGCAATATAAGACTTTCAAAATGATAGACAACAAAAAATTTTGGTATTTGACATAGCAATCCTCTTTGTAGCTGTCGTTTACGTTCTCCTTGACTTTGGTCGTCGGGCACTCCTATTTATGAGAAGTTTACATGAGTGAGGGTAAGTATTTATGGCTTTTTATCCACTGAACGCGTGAGCGCTTTATTAAGCCAAGCTTAAAAACATTTCCTTTATCCCCGCTCATCATGCTACCTCCTTGTTTTCGTTTGCTACAAGCAAATTTATTATTCAAAGCTCATTTGCCAAAGGATATACGGCATTGCTGTTCACTTGAATTCTGTTAACAAATTGAGATGTAGGTAACGTAAAATAAATAAAATTTCTTGGATAGTTCTAGATGTAGTAGACTTAAAATATCGAAAATGAAGAAACTGAAAAAGCGTTAGTTCAATATCTGTCTATATCTTACTATTTTATCGTGTAGTAACTGATTTATAATGTTTTATGTTCTCTTGCAGATTACAGTTTTCGTTATCGAGTGAAACGTCCAATAAAGGAAAATAAATGAGAATAGCAATCTGTATATATATATATATATATATATATATATATATATATATATATATATATATATATATTATTGAGTGAATGCGATCTAATATTACGATGAAAGTTGATCTTCTGATAATAAGTAGCTAGAAACAAAGGAGAATGAACGGGCATGTAATGTGCTTCCCAATCAAGAAATAGTGTCTACAGAAAGTCAAGATCGAGCAGATACGTAAAGAGAGTATAGGAAAAGAAGAGAATGAGAGAGAGAGAGAGAGAGAGAGACTGAGGGAGAAAAAGACTATGGCAATAACAAAGTGAGCGAAAGAGCCATGGAAGGGAAAGAAGTTAAAGGCGTCCAGTCAAAGGTTAAAGCTGCAAATCACCGAGATGAATGGACCTGAGTGCCGCTAATAATCCCCGACTCTCAGCCAGGGTCGCACTTTTTTTTTCTTTTTTCTTGCCGCACGCGAGAGATCGATTCCTCGCGGGACTACATAGCTGCTCCTCTCTCTAGGGAAAGTGAGATTCCATGGTCGATTACGCCGAGGATTTTCGGCCTCCCATTTTCCACGTAACGCACGACGAGGACCGTTTTAACGCGACTAAACCTCTTATACAAACGACCCCGTAAACGTGTCTGTTTCCTACGTGTATCTGCAGCTCTTGCTCGCGAGACGAGACGTGAGAGGTTATCCTTGTTCGCTTGCAATGTTGACTTTTATACGATTCAACAGGGAATTGACGGTCGAGTGTAATGCAATGGTAAGTACCGTTTGCGGAGTATACTTGTCTATCCCCCTTTTTAAATTGTATATTTGCTTAAAATATAGACGAAGCTAATGTTTTTTGGGTGCTTGTGCTTTGTTACTTCTTCTGAAAACAGCTGCTTTTAATACTGTCACGAAGTTTGAAATAGTCGAGTCTATATAACGGGACTGCTAATAAGCTCTCAAACTATCCAAACTGCCGAAGAATTGGAAATCCTCAAAGTGCAAACTTGGCGTGCCTAGTAAATATACCAACGATGGTAACG